AGGATGAGAGGATGAGGATGGGGAGGAAATGGGCTTTTGATGCCGCCCTGTTTGCAGAAGGTGCCCACGCTGCTTCAGTCTGTTTTTCTTGGGGACTGCTCGAAACTGTTCAAACATCCTCGGCACGGCCAGCGGGGCGGTGAGCAGGAGTCAGGGCCAGGGAATGCCGGCCCCAGCGAGGCCCCGCTTCAGGTGTCAGCCTGGAAAGCCAAAAATCACAGCCAAGGGTCAGGGAAAGGCACTGCCCTGGCACCAGTGCTGGGAGGGAGCAGGATCGAAGGATGCGGGAGCATGGGAGGATGTCCCAGCACCAGCCCAGCTCCAAGCTTGTGTCAGGAGAATGCTGTATGTGGATGGCTATTCCTGGGATTCATGAAGCCCTGCAACATCCATCTTTTCAGGGTCTTAAATCCACACCTTACTCTTCCCAGTTGGAGGCAAAGGCAGAGCCCAAGGCCCTGCTTCGTTCCCCAGCCAGCAGTTCCAGGGGAGCCACCTGCATCCAGCAGGGTTTCAGGAGGGGCACTGCACAGTGCCCATAGGGACAGCACTGCTGAAGAGAAACCGAGGCAGAAAAAAGGGAAAAGATGTGCAATGCCCTGGGCTGTGCCTGAGGTGTCAGGCCCCAGAAATGCCACGTGCTCAGGAGCCCAGCGAGGGGACAGCTGCTGCAGAAAAGAGCCAGCTTACAGGGTTGGCTCCTGGCACAGTCCCAGGGACTCGGCTCAGGCTGGGAGATTAAAGGCAGTGAGCTGGGCTCGTTTATCAGGGATTGCAACCTCCTGCTGCCGGTGATCTGGGAGGGCAGCACCTTTCCCAGAGACCTTCTCCTCCAGGATTAATAGGGGTTGCCAGGGCAAAGCCCAGACTTACTCCTAGACCAGTGGAGACCCATGTGCTCACTTACAGCAGGGGTGGCTTGGTCATATGCTCTAAAGGAACCCAAGGGAAAACCTTCTGGGATGCTGTCCTGCACTGTGCTGCTCACAGAGCCTCCCAGAAGCCAGTTTTGGGAGAAATCCAGCCTTTTAGTAAAGTGGAAGAGCCAGCTGCTGACCAGAGAGGAGTCTGCAACCACCAGGCCCATGGGCTTAGCCCATCCTCCCTTGCATCTCTCCCTGCTGGCACCCAGTGCTCTTGCAAAGGGGCGAACCAGAAATATTTATTTCTATGTCTGTATTAGAAATAGAAGAAGATGCTAAAACCAGCAGCCAGGGTGCAGCTCCAACTTTCAAGTGGCTGAAGGACCTCAGAGCCCGGTGAAGCTGTGATGAGTTAAATCTTGCCTGACCCACTGCCTGGGGTGAGCGGCAGGGAGAGCCGGGGATGCTCCCAGTGAGCCGTGGGGGAGGAGGGCTCTCTCCCAGCCTGACCCCAGAGAGTTCAGTGGCAGCCCTGCACACAGGAGCTCTCCAGGCAGCGACAGGGGAGAGTACCCCGCTTCTAGAGAGGTTCCCACCCCATGGTATCACCGTCCCTGGCACACAGCAACCCCTGCCCCGTCTCGCACATTTCCAGAGCTCCCACCTCACCACCGACCCTCCTCACGCCGCTTTAACCCCCGTGTCACGCTGCCCTCCCACGCCGGGCCATCCCCGAGAACATGGGCAGGGTCAGAAGGAACAATCCACCAGCAACGATGCTCCGTGCCCGAGCTCAGGGAAGGCTCTTCAGGGGAGCCCCGTGACGCGGGCACAGCTTAGCGGGATTAGTGGGCAGACGGACGTGACTGCGAGGCAGTCGCCTGGTGCTAATTAAAGAAGGGATATATTTAGGCACCCGGTTATCCCCCTGCGTTTCGCTTATTTTTAGCTCCCAGGCTGCCAAGCCGGGGTGGCACATGGGGAAGGGCACGGACGCAGGGCAGGATGGATCCATCCCCAGCCGGTGGCTGGACGGGAGGTCATGGCCTCATGTCCTGGCCAGCACTGAGCCCTTGTGGGGAGAAAACTTCTGTCCACACTGGCTACAAAGGAGGAGAAAGCTTTACTTTTTTACCCCAGAAAGGCAGGAAAATAAGTGTCAGGGAGCAATAGGAGCAGCCCTGCTCAGTCCCTGCCCCAGATCCATCCACAAGCCTTTGCCACCGCCCTGACCCCCATATTCAAGGACCCTTTTTGGCATCACCCAGCAAAAAGCACAGCTGTGCCCAGGGCAGAGCAGCTCCCCCATCCTCAGAGACACATTCTTTCACAGTGGCACTGGCCTGGCAGCAGTGCTGCTGGTCCCCATCCCTCGTGTTGTTCCCGAACCGCCCCTCAGCACAAAAGGAGTGTGTTCCTGGGACATGGCTGAGCCCCCCTGTCCACATGGGCCATCATCAGGTGTGGAGCCTCCTCGGGTCTTAAATACACTGAAAAGAATGGAGAAACAGCAGGTAGAACAGAGCCCAGCAGTCCCCCATCCAGCCCTCCTGGGCCAGGACAACCCATTAGTCCCATTCGTTTCCCTCTTTGCTTCATTCCCACAAGCACTCTTGGAGTTTCATAGTTTGGGGTTTAGCTTTTTCCCCCCCTTTCCAGTGTCAAATATTGATCAGGTGACTGCTAAGCTTACCTTACCTACCTACCTTACTTCCATGCCTCCTGGCTGCCACGCTTCCCTGGTGGAACAAAGGGTGGGATGGGGAAGTAAATCCAAATTAACGACCCAGGGAGTTGAAACCCCACCAAAAGCCAGGCTGCTCTAAGAAGGTTTCCCAGCAGGGAAAGTTTGGTTTGAGAGCATTTTTGGAGCCAAACAGCATGCAAGGGTGGCCAAATTCCCTCTTTCAGTGGCCTAACAGGTAAAGCCTCTCCCAGAGCAGTGAGGCTGGGCAGTTTGCACTATGCCTCAATAAATTCGAGCTGGAAAAAACACCCCAAATTCATTTATTTATTTGAATCCCTTTGACTCCAGGAGCAGGTTTCCTGCACCCTCCTGACTGCAGAGAGCAGCAGGGCCATGTGGGGCCACGGGCTCCCATCACCCGGGCTGCAGCTCGCCCGGGTTCTCTGCTGCCCATCAGAATTAGGCAGCCCGTTTGAGCGGGTTTACGATAATCATCAAATAACTCGTTCATTGACAGCATGTCAGGCTGAGAAGACTGACTGAGCCCTCGTTTGCTGATTGCTAATTAGCTTAACATTCCTAATCCCTCATTAGTGACTATGAAGTAAGCTCTGAAATATGAGGTCAGCCCTAATCAGCGTTTAAAATATAAAGCTCCACCAGCACGTGATGGAGGCGGGAGAGGGGGTGGCTGCAGGCCAGCCCTGAGGGTTTCCATGGTCAGAGGGAATGAGGCTGCACAGGGCAGAGCTGGATACGAAGGGTTAAGCCCGGTGGAACCATGGACATCTGCACAACATCCCCCCCCCCCAGATCTCAGCACCCTGCACTCAGTTCACGTCCTTGACGCACAGGGGGCACAGGCAGCAACATGTGGGGTGCAGTGCATGAGGCGCCCCAGGTTCCTGTCTAGTCCCTGGTGCATCCAACAGCAATTCCAGCCATGGCTTCCATTCAGGGCAGGCTGTCAACAGTGGGGGACCAAGCACCCGTGCAGACTGCTTTGGCTTTCCCCATAGTTCCCCTCTTCAAAATTCCAGGTTAACTGCAGGCAGCCTGTCTGCTGGCAGCGGGACTTTGCCTGGAGACACACTCACACTCTCAGATCCTGGGGGAAGGAGTCAAATATCAGTGTTGGCAAGGGTGCCAAAGCGTGCTGGGCTGCCCACGTGCATGCCATCATTTGGGAGGAAAATGGCCCTTATTTGTTGTGGGTGATTCCTTAGGAAGAATAAACTGTTGCAGACTAAGAGTAATTTATTCCTAACCGGAGGAACCTCTGTAGGAGGGCTGTGGACATTAAACTTAGCCCTAATTAAACTCCGGCTAGTCAGCTAGTCTTTAAAAAGCAGAAAAGAAAAAAAAAAAAAAAAAGGTATGTTTCCATGAAGACATCCCTGCTCATCCCCACAGGAAGGACCAAGGAGAGGCTGCGTGGCACGGCCAGCTCCTGCTCCAAGCCATGTCCCTGCACGGCGGCCGGAGCAGGGAGCCTCTGCCGTGCCAGGCAGGCTGCAGGAGAGGCACCAGCATCCTTTCAGTGCGCTCCCGTCCCCCCGGGGTCCCTCCCCGCGTGGGCAGGAGCATCGCTCTTCCTCGGTTCGGCGTCAGCGATGACGCCCAGCGACGCGGCGAGCGCTGCTGGTGGGGGCTCCGCGAATCCCCCGCGGACCGAGCTCTGCTTCGCCCCCGACTTCTGCTCGGCAGCTCCTCCGGAGCACGGAGACACGGGATATTTTGAGCATCCTTGGCAGCAGCGAATGAGGCTGAGTCCAATCCCGCCCCCCCCCCCGACATGAATGTCCCCAGCACTATTTTCCAAGGACGGGAATAGCCTCTGAAGGCTTTTCCACGTGGAGAGGGCACACCTGCAAATGTTAAAAGCAAAGGGCTGTTTCTGGAAAGGATTTGGGCGGTGCATCATGAGGGTGGCCTAAATAAGTGGGTGCACAAGGGGGCACCTGCTGCCTCATGGCATTTGGCTCACGCAAGACAATGCCGTACCAGCGCCGCTGGCAGCCCGTGCCCTTCGCATTTTATTGTGCACCCAATTCCTACACCCTTCAGCCACGGTATTTAACTGTGGCCAGTCACATCCTCACCTGGCTCAGCCAAGTGTCAACTCTTACATGGTTTTACCCCTCTAGTAAGAACTGAGAATCAGGACCCTGCATCAGGGACACAGGACACTATATACTTATGGACTTAGTGGAGGATGGTAAATTTTGGACTTGAGTTTCAGAGTGGGAAGTTTCAGCTTACCCACACACCTGGCGGCCTTTGGAGCAGAAAATCCCGAAGAGCCTGGCAGAGTTACTGCAAAACCCAGACGTTCCACGGGCCGTTTTCTGCCCCATCCAGCAGCCGGTTGAGGAGGCGGGTTGGAGTCACAGCCACCCCCGGGCGCTGAGGGAAAGTGAGGGGAGACGAAAACAAGAGACAGACACGAGTTTGGATTTATGTAAAAAAAAAAAAAAAAAAAAAAGAATTATTTATTTTGGAGGAGGATTTGAACATCGACATGCAGGTACAACATGAATAAAAATTATTGCACCGCTATTATGTGGCAATTGTTCAAGTTTCTAAAAACACAGAAATTCCACACTTTCTCTTATCTAGCTAAGTGCTGAGTGACACGGCTTGGCAGAGCCCAGCGCAGGAGGTGCTCTCACAGCCACCTGGATATGGTAATCGAACACAACGTAAACACACACTTCTGTCAAATCTTCTACTAGAAGTACAGAATTATCCTTCACATCCAGTAAGAGAAAACCAGAGAAAGACTTTATCCTCCCCTCTTCAGAAGAAAAAAAAAAAAAAAACTTAAAAAAAAAATATACTCCAAATCACACCTTAATGCAAGTGTGGCAAACAAACCCACTGGTCACTCCTACCCCTTCCCCACAAGCGCTCTTTAGTACAGCAGCAGCCAAAGGCCTCTGACACTCGGACCAGGAGTGGCCGGTACAATGCTAAAATCTAATATTTACAATAAATATCATCCATTTCTCTTAGTTTGCAACAGTAAGAGACAAAGGGAAAATTAACACTGAAATGAGGCGCGGGGCAGGGATGGGCCAGCTGGATGCAGGAGCAGAGAGGAGCTGCAGAGGATGAACCAGCTTAGATGCCGCCATCCCTACACGGATGAGGAGCAGGAGACACATCCAAGCTGACAGAAGAGGGAAACAAAGCGGGGAAAGCAGCATATTTGGATGGTGACATGCACGGCTCATTCACCAAACACACACCTGCCTGACTCAGGGTTCCCTACGGAGCCCGAGGTCTGGGCTTGCCAAGGGCTTCCCTCGGGCACTGCGGGTCCGAGCCGGCGCTGGGAACGCGCTCTGGCTCCTCAGACACAGCTCTTCCAACATCTCGTTCTTCCCCAAAGCATTTTGCAAGTTTATTTGAGAAGGCATTGAAGGAACTTGTAGCAGAGCAAGGAAGAAGTCTTGGTGTATCTATCTGGCTTATCATCAAGATTTAAAAGCAAAAGGCTTTTCCCCCAGGCTTTCTGCTAAGGCGCGCCATCAAACTTTGACAGAAGGTGGAACGGGGACGATGGGGCACCTGGCACATGGAGGGAAACTACAAGACTGACCAGGAGTAGGGGACAGGGGGCTTCACTAGGATGCCTTCCTGGAAACGCTGTTTGGCTTTAGCTTCCAAAAGAACAGGGATTTTTAATTGCACTGTTCACTTTCTGTACCGTAGCTACAAAAGAGGCAAGAAAACACACACCTCACCTCTTCTTTGCCCAACGTAGGCACAAGCAGCAAGAGCTGTGACATAGCAAGGGGTTTCACTCCTCTTTTTATGCCTAAGAAAGGATAACTCTGCAATTCAGCGCGGGAAGCACTGGCTGCAAAGGCAGGGAGTCAGCAGCTTAGGGCTGGTACCGTCCCATCCCTTCCACTGTGGGATGAGCCAGGTTACCCAGCCTGGCTCATCCTCTGCTAACCTCCTAGGGGCAGTGGTTGGGTTTCCCCTTGAGTTTTCTAAACACAGAAGGGAACAGGGGACCTGCTACCCAGGGAACAGCCAGGTTGGACCATGTCCTCACACAACTCTGGGCTCACTCCTTAATTTACACAGACACTTCCATCTCACCAAGGTCAGGTGCTCTCAGGAGATCAGCCTGAGGCTTGTCTTTATAATTACCACAGAACCAGGATGCCAAATCCATTTTTCACTACTCCTGTCCGTGCCATAACATCCTGCACTGTTTCTCAGCGATTTTTTAGTAGATCAACCCATCAGGGAGAAAACCAGCCAGGTAAGTACCAGATCCTGCCAAGCCTGTTCCTAACTTGCTATTGCTCCAAATCAGCACTGAATGATGCTCACCACCAAGAGCGCTTTGAGAGGATGCAGACACCCAGGACCCTGACAAGGCAGTGGAAATACTGTGGTTTGTAACTGCAAACCAAGTGTATACGAGCAGCCTATGAATTCCAAGGAAAAAGAGCGGACAGACAGCACAGCAGGCTCTGCTCTCGACACCATCACAGCAAGGTTTATTAATGTGTTACCCGGGAGCACTGAGGCTTTGGTTAGTGTAGTAGCAACATCATACATGTTCACATAGACTCATGGAGTAAACACTCATTTAAACAGGTTACAAAAAAAAAAAAAAAAAAAACCAAACCAAACCAAACCTTGGTCCAGAAATGAAATTCAAGCAGCCAAAATCAAATATATAATGGGGGGAACACAGAAAGAAGCAGGGTGAGATTTCAGAGATTTTTTTTTTTTTGTGAGCTGCGGATTGAACTGAAATCAAATTGAAAGATATGGAGAAAATATATTCCTATATAAAAACAGATCTGCATTTAGGGGAAACAAATCAAAACTTCAAGTTCAGGAAAAGCCAAGACAGCGAAGGAAGCAGCAATGTAAGGAAATCAGACCAACAGAGTGGGTTTTAGCTTGGAATACTGTTGCACAGTCATTCTGCTTCTAACAGAGTAAGCCAGTGAGCAGGATACTATCCCTCACGGGTGATCCACAGGGAGATACACTCAGACAAGACTAGAATACAAGCTGAGCACAATCTGGGACAAATGATGGGAGTGTTCATTGAGAGGAACTTTTAACTGGATGAAGAAATGGCTTACAGTGCTATAGGGATCACCACTCAACACATTTATTGGTGCATTATTATTGACCTAATCCTCAGCAAGGAGCACTGTTACCCAGAGTTGGTCACACTTAAAGCAAAGCCATGTCTAAACCTAAGAGCAAAGAGTAACTTTGTCATGGAAAGTGACCTCAGCAGTGGCAATGATCTAGCTATCAAAGCTGAAATCTGAAAATATCACACGTGGTTTGAAGTCTGCTTGCAGCTTGTCCACAGAACTTGAGGAGTCCAAACTCTTCACGAGTTTGTTTGTTTTTAAAACGGGCAGATTCAGAAAACCCAGCAAGTTTCCCAAGCCCCAATTCAGAAATGTTAAGGAACACCTTAAAACCCCTACCTACTTAGACTCACCAAGAGAAGGAAAAGTCTCCAAGGGTCGTTCATCATCGAGACAACTTTCCCCGAGACGTACTGGAGAACACGCGACTACAAATCTCTCTACTTTAAAACCAACCTACAGGTACCCCTTTCCTGGGGGTCACTTACTCCAAGGCAGGGCAAGTTATGAATTGAAGCCAGAGAAAGGAAGATAAAACATCACTAAAATTTTAAAAACAGAGGGAAAAGTTGCCGTGTGTCCTACAAAGGATAAGTAAAAACAATCCCCCAACAAGCCAGCTTACGGATTGGAGATTTCTCTTTCTGATAATTCCATTGAAAAATACTCTTACTTGTTTTAAAGAGAAGACAGGTAACTGTCCCCTCTTGTCCAGCCTCTCCAGCCAAGTCCCTTGTCTCCATATCCTCTAAGGACACAGGACTGTGTCCTCACACAAAGAGGTCATACTTGCACCACGGAGGGTCCGTAGTTCCAGAGTGAACTTGTAGACAAGAGAGCAGTTTCTTATTCTTGCCAAAGGATATCAGATTGTAAAATTGGAGCAAAAACTTGATATTTTTGAATTTCAATGGAATTTCAAAGAGAATGCTGAAAAGCTGAAATTTAAAAACAAGCTGCCTTTTTTTGTACTCACAATTTTGGGGGTCTCAAATAAATGCAGGATTAGAGGGAAGAGCACACCAGGCCCTAAAATCAGGCAAAACAAAAGGTCTGGAAGGGGGAAAAAAATAAAAATAAACAAACAGTTTCTTAAGCCCTGCTTTAAAGATACCCTGTTCTAAAGAGACCTCAAACAGCAAGCATTACTGTGTACAAAAATAGAATAGCAAGGATGAAAAAACACAAAAAACAGTATGAAAAAAACCCTCCCAAAAATAGATGTACACAAGTTCTATTTTATATTAGTGTATATTACAAAATTCAAACATGCAGTCTCTATTTTGAATGCAGAATGCTCCAGTCCATGAGTACCAGCGATGCTGCTATGTTTTCTTCACAGCATCGTCATGTGACAGGGGAAAGTCTTGTATTTTTAACTGATTTCCAACCTCTTTGCTTTTTGCCTGTGCCAGAGTCCCTTCTTTACAGGGCCTCGTGCTGCCATCTGGCAGAGGAGAGGCTTTCAGAGCTGCTTGTCCAAGAGCATGAGACAGCTCTTTCGATGGAGTGATTTTGCAGCTACCTGCCAACGCTTCAGATGCTTTAGCACCGCAAAAAGTCGCCTCCTTTTTGACCACCACAGGACACGCTGCCTCCTTTTTGGCCACCACGGGGCACGTTGCCTCCTTTTTGGCCACCACAGGACACGCTGCCTCCCAGGGCTTTGCTGAGTGTAAGGACTCTGAGCAGGACCCGCTCCTCGTGCTCAGACCGTCTGTGCTAGATAGTTCGGCTTTCTCTTGGCATTCTCCTACTTGTGAAATCTCCTGCCTCTTTTGTTTCAAATCTCTCTCTTCTTTACAGGAAGCACCCAAATCCTTTCTCTTCTCCACCTCTCCAGAACCAGCCATACTGAGTTTCAGAGGGCCCAACACGCTCTGAGCCAGGGGCACCAACTGAGACACGGAGAGTGCGCGTTCGATGGCACCGGGGATGAGGAGTGTGGAGGACGCAGGTCCCGCTGGGCTCGTTTTGCTGGAGCTCAAAGCACTCTCTGCCTGGGATGAGCTGGGCTGCTGCTTTTCACTACTGGGACTTCTTTGGGACGTTTCACTGGCGCTTCCAGGAGACAGGAATGAGGTGCTGTGCTGCTCTGCAGGCTGAAGCGTCTCCTTGTGACCCTTCTCGCCGCGGTCTGGGGGACTCACCGAGACAGGAGTGCTCGTGTTTGCTGTGCACCACGAGGGAAGTGCCAGCAGAGGTTTGGAATCCTGTTTTTTCTGACTGCTCTCTGCTAGCACAGGTTCTTTCAGGTCAAGTTTACCACAGGAGGCCCCAGAAGAATCGCTTTCTTCAAGTTCCAGGAGTTTGATAGACGGGCACTGTACATGTTCTGTGCGATCTACTGTTTTTGGAGTACCTGTACCTGTAGTTCTCCCTAGGTCTTTGATTGCTTCAGAAGACCTGTCTTTTGGACCAAAACAGTCAAAAGTTTTGTTTTCTGGCAATTTATGTTCCTTTGCAGGTGTTTCTGATTTTAGGAATGGCTTTTCTGAATTAGCTAAGTTTTCTGGAGAAGTTCTTGACAGGAGCTCTGATGGGGAAGGGTGGACACTGGCTTGCAGAGGCTCTGGAACAGGCTTGGCCTGTTGAGTATTTCCCTTCTGCAAGTCTTCTGTACCTTTTGGATCTTCAGGTAGAAAAGCATCATCTTCAATACTATCCTTGCTTTCCAATTTAGACGAGAACTTATTATCCTCATTAAAAGAATCTGAGCCTTGGTCTCCACTGCCATGGGGCTTGTCCAGCCTTCTCCCATCCTGACTATCTTCTGAACCATCATCCGTTTCATCTTCAGAAGAATCTACTTCCCTGATGGCCTCTTGCTTTTGCAGAGACTCCCTCCTCTCCACCCTGTCCTGTCGGATGGCGCCCAACTTCCGTGAGCCCGGCTTCTGCAGCATCCCCTTTTCTGCCAGCCCGAGTTTGCCGCCTGTCGTTTCATTGGCAGATTCCTGTAAGCTCTGGAGACTGGGATCCCGCTGCAACATCTCCTTCTTGAATTCAGAGTGAGAGATATCCAAGCTGTGCTTCCGTGAGGAGCCCAGCTTCTTCTCCGAGGAGGACAGCGAGGCAGCCAGCTTCTCAGCCGACTGCACCCTCTTGAGCAAAGGAGACCGAGGGGGCTCGGCACTCTTGGGGCGAGAAATCTGTCTCACCAGCGGTGGAGAGGAGTGTAGCTTTACTGGGAAAGACTGGATAATACTGGAGCTGCCAACTGAGTGTCCTGGTAGAGGGGATGGGGAGCGCTGCGGTGATGTGGACTGCGGGGTTGGTGACGGAGTGTGAGCCAGTGGTGACAGAGGGATGTTTCCTGCAGATTTACGCCTTGGAGACCTGTACTGCCTTTGGAGCTTTGGTGCCAGTCCATGCAGAGAGCTGGGGCGGATGTGTCCAGAGCTGGCTGGAGAATTGGGAACACTGGAACTGGGAGAGCTGCTCTGGGAAGAATTGCCACCAACTTAAAACAAAACAAAAAACAACAAAAAACACAACAAATTAAAAACATGCTAAGAAGATTAATATATATTTGGCCATTAAAACAACTTACTGCAAATAAGATATGCAAAGTCAAGACACAATGCCATGTTACTCCAAAGGCCAGTGGTAATATTGCAAGGTAACACTGCCAGGCTTCTGATGGAAATTCACATTATTAGCACCCAACACCAGAGCAGAGTAAGAAACACTCAGCTATCAGAACACCTTTCTGAAAAAAAACCCAACTTTGAGCAGACAAACCACGTGTTTCATTGCTATTCTCCAGATGTAAATCCCTTTATTCCAGCAGCTGATTCAATTTTCAAATATGACTCTGCGACACTGTTTTGATTTCTTTTCTCTGAACACAGAAAATGTGTCAAACTGATATGAAAAGATTGCACCTTACAATACACATTTGCATCAAAGTGAAGGGATGCTCTAGTACAGCAAATGCATTCTTAAAAGGATGTATGGATTTTCATTTTCAAATGAATCAATGAATGAAAATACATCCATCCTTAAGGTAATCAAAATCACAGCTGTCATTTACTTCCCAAAGAGACCTACTACCTGCTGCTGTGTATTTTATTTCCAAAATTAATCAATCGGCAATAGTCTTCTCCAAGCTTTTTTCCCCCCTGTTTGACTAGATTTTTTTTGGGCCTGGTTTTGTTTTGTTTCTTTTTTTTTTTACCTGAGTGTACAGACTCAGGAGTGGATCTGTAGCTCTGGGTTGGTGACCGAGGAGACAGGTTGTGAGTTGGAGAGCCAGGCACACTTTCTCCAGAGGACAGAGACCGGTTCAGTGACGATAAACTCCGGCTGGTGTGAAGTAACGATGCTTGTTTAGTGATCTTCCTCAACAGAGAACTCTTCTTCTTACTGTGGAAGAGCATTAAAATGGTGTTTACAAGCCCAAATGGTTTATTTACCTTTATTAGCACATTTCAGTCAATTTTATGTCACAGTTAGAGAGAAAAAAAAAATAAATATAAGAAGAACTAAAAGTATGTACCTGCTGGTACACATTATCTGCAAATGGATTTGAGAAGATACCTCTTACATTATCTTGGTTACCCTTTCATTTTAACAGAGAAACATCAAAACGAACCTTTCCTGACCATCCTTTGTTTTGCTCTTCTTGTTCCTACGAGCCATCTTGGATTTGTAGCTGGCTTTTCGAGCTGGACCAACTTTGATGGACGTGTTCTCAAATGGTGTGGTGGAGATGGACACTTTATTTCCACTCTGTCAGACACAAGACACAGAGGCATTGCTTAAAACATGGTTATTTGAAGCAGATCTGCAGGCTAAGCAGGTAGGCTGCTAGTTCAGTGCTGCCTGCCATTTTGTAATCCTTTGTCAAACTCCATTTTTCCCCTCAGCATTTCTACCTATCATTTATTAAGGAATTGCTGAGAGAGAGCCCTCGTTAGTCAGGCTTTCACAAATGATTAGCTCAGACCCCAGCTGGTAGGTAAAGCTTCCCAGGGCAGACAGAACACAGCATCTGACCTCTCCCATTGAGATCCCAAATGACTCAGTTTAATACTTGTAATACTTGGAAACTTGAACAAAGTGATATTCTGTCACCAATCCTATTCCCAGTGCTCTGACTGATGGCAGATGTGAGCATATCAGGCATCTATCATGATGAATCTGCAACACAGAGCATGGCTTGTCTCACTCATCTTAAAAAAATAATAATCCTGATTGCTCCTCTATTTGCAATACCAAAGTCTTCTGTCTCTTGGAATAGTCCAGAACTTCAGGGTTTTTTTTCTCTAAACAGCTTCTGCTCAGAGGAGGTATCAAACACAAGTCATTCACCTGGATAATTTTAAGACCAACCATTACAAAGCTGCTCTTAAATACCACCAGGTGCTGTGTACATACTTGTTATTTCAGACAATGCCAATTACCTACCTATGGCTCACATTTTCCAAAATGTGACAGTGCTGAGTTCCCTACCTTCAGAATCAGCTCCACCACCTCCGTGTGCACCAGCCCATGGACCGGCTCCCCGTTGACGTGGGTTATCAGATCCCCTTCCCGCAGTCCCGCTTCGTTCGCCGGGCCGCCTTCCTCCACGTGCTGGCAATGACAAGGGGATGATTGATTTGAGAAGGGGAAGGAGCAGGACTGCTGGCCCAGATCAGACTCAAAGCCCATCCATCCGTCTCACCTCCTGCTGCAGCCAGTGCCAGCTGCTTCAAGGAAGTGTGAGAGAAACCACCGACTGGCACAGCCAAGCACAAAACCCTGTGCTCTCCTTCCACTCCTCCCCCAGCATCCTGCCAGTCTTCCCCTGATCCAAGGCAGCCAGGATGGTTAAGCTGATCAAGAGACCAGCTCTTCCCAAAGCAGAAGGCTTAACACACTCTCAGAAGTTTTTAGCACTTACAAATGTTAACTAGATACTCTAGATTTACAGACAAACACTCAACCTTTTTCAATTTCTTTGCCATCCCAAATCCAGCATCCTTTCACGTACACGCTGGAACCCAAGGTGGCCAACAGATTTTTGACGAAGACTCTGTGCCATGTGTTTAAGGTGCCTACACTGCATCTCATTTCATTTTCCACTTTCCATCCCTTATTAACCTATCCAAACACCACATCTTTTCCCCTGTGAACACACTGCCTTTCCCCTGTCGCTGGTCAGAAAGGCAAACCTCCCTCACCATGAGGAGACAGATGCACTGGAGAATGCAACAACTCTCCCTCTAGCCAGAAAAGACTCCAAATGAGTATCTTGGTAAACTCAGCATTTTTCAAGGAAAGCAAGAGAGGGGCAAGGGAAAAAATGCAGCCTCAGGTTATTTCTCTACGTAAGAATGAGTGTTAAAAAATGACCAAAGCGTATGAAGTCCAAATTGTCTGATGAATACAGAAATACAAAGAACAGAATGGACCACTTTTACCCCTTACGGCATTCTCCCTAACCACACAATCCTAACAACACTGCTTCGGGGATTGGATCATTCCGAGAAGTCATCTACGCTAACAAAAAAGAAACACAGAGATCAAGTGCCAGAAGTAATGGGAGGGAAGCGATACAGTCATGGAAACCAGACCTTTTAGCACAGCTCACAGCTAAGCCAAGAGCTGAATCCCATGGCAATCAGCAAGGCAGCAGCGATGCTTTAAGGCTTGTAATCAATTCCAAGCGACTGCTTGGAAAACCCCAGCAGACTGAACTGATCAGAAGCAGGTTATAATCGCCAGCACGAGCCTGAATAAATTAGGCACAATGGGCCCCCATGCAACGACCCCCAGCAAAGAGAAAGAGGTATGTACACAGGAACATGCTTTAAAGTATGTGCTGCAGGTGAAAGAAGGTGGATTCATGTAACCAGGGAAAAAAAAAAAGGAAAGAAAAGTTGCTGTGGTTCTGTGATGGGCTTGAAAACTCCTACAGGAAAACCCAAAATGCTGTTAGTTAGTTAGTTAGATAGTTAGATAGTTATAAAGGGTTTTTCCCCCACCCCAAAAAGACAACTTTGGGTCTGAATAAGAAGAGAGAAAACAGGGTGGCAAAATACAACTTACAAAGCTAAATCCCACAACCCTGGCTAGACGCATTTCTGGCCCCAAGGGTACTCTTTTTAGCAAAGCAGAGACATACCCAGACCATGTGATGCACAGTGTAGATATCACTGTCACCCATATAGACGCGAATGGCACGGAGAGTGAAACCGTATTTCTTTCCAGCCCGATGGATGATGATTGGTGGTTTCAGGTTTGCGATAGCAGGAGAAAAGTCGCGGCTGGGTGAGGAGTCCCTCGAAGATGGGTTGGAGGATAGAGAATGAGGTGACATTGGACTGGCCAATGGAGAACACGTGTGGTGATCTACAGTGATGACACAAAGGTGAGCAAAAATTAGGAAACCAGGCCTCCAAAAGAGAGAAAATTCTTGTTAGAGAACAGCTAAGAAAGAAACCATCTCTCCCAGTGCTCTTAAAGCTCGTGGTTTCTTCACCAGAGCTGGGTTTGTCTGCAGCTTCGCCTAATTCATGCTTCATGATACAAAAATGAGCAGAGCTTTCAAAAAGGCACATTTGGAGATGTATATTTAATACAGCATCACTGCTCGTACAGGATTATGGTTGGGTCACAGTGTTTACTGCTTCTCTTTCCAGGATTTACAACCCACCATAAGCATTTGCCATGGGCACAATCCTGGAACACTCTGTTTCCAGGTTATGACATAATATCCTCCAACATAACATCAGACATCTCCATATCTCAGTGCAAGTTATACACTGGTGCTGAGATAAATCCAGAGCAGTTTGTATTACACAAAAAAAAATCAGTATGCAATCAGACAAGAACAATCAGACAGTTTTGGTAGTGTTTTAAATTCACAGGGGCAAAAATATTTAACCCTAAAAAATTAGCAACTGCAGGGACTTTGCTACTGGAGAACACCACCACAAGTGTATTTTAGAGTGAGTTTCCCAAACGAACAGCTGTGGGCTGAACTATCAGAGAAACTATCTGACTCTGCGTGCTAGTGGAACAACATCCACATTTTAAAATATGAAGCAAATAAAAAACTCCCATTTTAAAGTGAAGCTGGTCAACATCAGTAAAATAAACCCAAAGAGCAGGAATATTAAATGCAGCTGTAGAAGGTAATCTCTAATCCATTAAGAAACACCTGCTGAATCGCCCAGCACATATTTACCCGGCAGATGAGAGCAGCTCTGGAGGAACCCTTGCTGTGTGATTAAATACACATTTTTGAGATTTTCACAAGGGAGTTTGCAGTTTGAAAAGCAACCGATGCCTAAACCACAAGAAATGTGATGTGCATCACCACGAGGGTGCCAAGAGCAGGTGCATCCCTGCCTCCAGCTCTCTGGCTGAGGGAGGCATGTGGGCATAGCTCTGCCAGCAGGTTCTGCTGAGTTGGCCCAGACACATTCCCTGTTCCCATACAGGCAGGAACAGGTACAGCCCCGGAAATACAGCATGGTTTTATCCTCTGGAAAGAGGGACAAAGTCCCTGTGGGGAGAGCCTCCTCCTGCTGAACCAGGCTGTTGTAGCTCAGTATGACTGAGCTGTTCTCTAGGAGTTACCACCTGGCTTTGGGAATTGTAAAGGTTTGGCTCTGCTTGTAGACAGAGCCAGGCCAACAATGTAAGTGGTTCAGCTTTGACTGACTTAGTGAGTTATTTACACTATTCAGTTCTTGAACACTCAACCTCAATCAAGTTATCTGGAGTTTCTGAAACCTCCCAGTGCACGCACCAGAAATGCACCAAACACATTCTGTTCCCAAACAGCACCATAGTTTGCATGTGACCCTCCCCCCACAACCCTGGCCAAAAAATAGTACCTTGAGAGTTAAAATCATTCTGTGTCTCTACACCTCCTTGCTGCACCATGGTCTAGAGACCAGCTAGGAGCCAATTTAAACAAAACCAGGGAAGGAACAGGGCCCAGCTGCCATTTGCAGAAGCTGCAGTCAGACCACACACGCTCCGCTCCTGTCTGTGGCACAGCAGTGTTCATCAACCTGCGAGCAGTAAAAGTTACATCCCTCCCCTCCTGCCAGGCAAGGCATTATTCCAGGAGAGCAAATGGGGAGGATCTGTCTGCAGACCTTTTGTTTAGCGCTTGCAGATTCTGACAATGCCTCACTCAAGGCATTTCTTACCTGAGGGAATCAGGAGAGACAAGGCAGTAGCGGATGCTGATTTAATCACTTTATTGACAGGTCTCGAGGTACGTTTCTCCCCTGATTCCCCAGAGAGCAACCTGTGTCGTGCCCGCCGCACTGCCAAATCGCTGATGGCTTTTGGAGTGGTAAAGTCTGGGCCTTCATTGCTATTACTGCGAGCTCGTGGATCAGAGAAATCTGCAGTGCTCCCAGCTACAGTTTAAATTAAAACAGATTAGAACCACAGGGAATTCCTAACAGTCTATTCCCCTACAGGCAAAATACAGTAAATCAAAGTCATGTTTACATGAAGTCCAAGAGTAAATTTTCCTAAGAAGAAACCCCAGGGCTTGAATTTTTATTTACAGAAGTGATGTTACTCCGAATACAGAAAATTAGCGGCTCCCATTCTGTGGAAAAGCTCACTAATGAAATCACATTGCTCAGTGGCAGTTCCATGAATCCTAAAGCTGTGGTGCGGTTCCGCACGCCATTTCAATGGGATCGTTCACAGATGAAAACAGGTTTATGGAAAGTGCTCCATTTTTACAACCAGCAAGAACTGTCAATCTTTAAGTTAAAACTGCCTGTAATGTAAGAGCCGGGCTCTCCTGGAGTTGCACATAAAAAAATCCACTCTAAAAGAATACTAAGGTACTAAAGTCAAGGAGAGTAAAAATGTGGATTGCAAAGACAATCTTAATTTGCCCCCTTCTGTGCACCGTTGCAATTTAGTCTTGAATTACTTAACTGCTATAATTATATAGAAAATGCAAAGTAATCTTGAAGATCAGACCAGGCACGTAACAACAGCAGATACAGAGGGCTGGGGTGCTGTGCTCAAGTCCAGTGCCTCAGTTCCCCACGTGATACCTTAAAGGGGCACTGTGAAAATACAGTAATTAGAATTTACAAGGTGCTTAGAAATGAAAGTGGTGAGCATCACAGCAAGTCCACCAGGGAAATTAATCATTCTGTCTTCAAAGGCAAATTTTAAGCAGCGTGCAATAAATAAAGCCTAAGGGCCACATCTTGAACAATGAGGACAGAACAAAACATTGATCATCGTTATTTAAGTGGGCACCACCGCTCTGCATACTAAGTAAAGCAGGAAGTACCATGAAAATAAAAATTCAAAGCAGCATTCCCAGAGACCTCAGTATCAGGTGCCTGTTCAACATTTAACAACCACAGAGTTTCAAATCAGGCTCCCAGACAACGAAGAACCCGGATTTGGAGGCTGCGTGTGAAAAGGTGCCATGTACATTAGAGGAGTACTCTGAGACAGCAACAGGAACCAAACTCTTTCCAAGCCTCTGACTTGGGGACACCAAAGCAATGGTATCCCTGAATCCCACACACTAGATTAAAGACTGCTCTGATATATTAGGCTCAGGGGAGCAGGATGCCCAGGGGAGCTTCACGTCTGCCTACTTCCACTTGAAGATACTCAAATTAGCAGTGGAAGTGTCCTTGCCATTTTTAATAGCATGTTTCTAGGCTCTTAGCATGAAATTAGGAACCAAAGGTTCCACTTCTGACACCAAAGTATGAGGTAGCTTTTTCCTTTCACTCCTGCACGTTTTCCCATTGGCTTAGTGGAGAACACGATGCCAGCACCAGGCCTCTTTTGGGAGAGTGGGCCATAGAGGGGAATGAGACAATTCAGGATTTCACAGACTGGACTGCAGAAGAGCAATAATGAGATGTGGGGATCTTTGGCTTTACTCTGGAACAAATTTCCTGCAGGGATTTCCACCTTCTGCTGTCAATCCATCACCACATCTGTCCAGTGCCCTCCACCTTGTCCATTCTTGCTGCCGCTCAGTATCCCTTTCCTCTCCATTCCCAAAGCATCCACAATTGCTTTGCCTGCTTTCTCCCAGCAACTTATTTTCTTACCTAGTTAGTCTTTGTTATTCAACACTACAATCTAGGCCTTTCCCTAAATATGCTTTCTTTCTCAAATATTATCTTCTATTCATCTTCCCCACTCTCTTCTATTAATCCAAACTTCCCTTTTTTTTTTCTCCTTACTACTTCTTAGCAGTTCCCAGTTCTGGCCTCCTCTGTTGACAGGAACAGGCAACTTCATTCCCTGCCTTTCCTGTGCCCTGAAAGGGACATCAGCTGGGGACACTCCAGCACCCCAGTCCTGCACTGCCACAGGCCAGGGCACCATCACAGGGAAGGTCCAGCTCAGCCCAGTGCTGAAGAACAGTCCTAGATCAGTAAAAACTGCTGAGAAGTCAAACACTGACTTCTAAGATTCACTCTACTAAATTTAGGCTGACATTTTCTAAGCCTCCAAGTGACTGCATTTTGGCATATTTGGCTGTGACAGCAAATAGCAAGTCCCTGACACAAGCCCCAGCATATTTCAAGTCTCTACTCTAAACTCTTGGGATGAATAAAACCACATGAAGCAGGGATCTGTTGGTACGGTTGACACCCCATGTTCTGCAGCTCCAACTCAGCAGTGATCTGTTCTGACTAATGCCTCAATTAATGCTGCCTCAGGTAGGCACCCAGTGGCTGTAAGTAGGCACAGATCATATGGGTCTCGAGCACGAGGAGACCTAAATCGATTTGAAGTGACAGGACTGAAATCTAAGACGTAATTTTGGAGAGATGAAACCACCGCTGTCATTTCAAAGGCAAGCACATCCACAGAACTGCACTAAAATAACCACTTTAGCATGAGACAGCCCCATCACCCAGCATCCAGATCCAGTTTTACAGAGTTAACCTCTGACACGGCCTTTCTGGGCACCACCATCGCACCGGGCACGTACCTGTCAGCGTTGAGGCGCTGCTGACGGCCGTGGAGGGCGTGGTGGGTCCGGCCTCACCCTCCAGCTGCAGCTCGTGCTCCACAGGCTGCTCCGGAATGGGCACCGGCAGCCCCTCCCGCGACTGCACCGTGGACAGGAGCATCCCCTCGGACTGTGGCCTCTTGAGGGCAGTCCCCTCGTCCTCCGCGGAGATGGCGAAGCGGGGCATGTCGAGGAGCCCCGAGCAGCGCCGCCGGACCGTCAGGGGTGGGCTGGAGTCGCTCTCCGTGTGCGAGGATTCAGACATGGACAAGCGCTTGCGCAGGCTAAGAGAGGAACCAAGAGAGGGCCCCCCCAGTTAAACCAGGGGGATAACGAACCTTCACACATCCACAGCCAGTTTAAGCTTCATCACTGGGACTTAAAGCAACAAAGGCTTGGGGCACCACATGAGTTTAGAATTCCAATATAAATCGGTTGTTAAGCTTCTAAGAAAGGAAGGAATAAAACCAAAGGAAAATACAGTACAATGAGCACGATATTAAATATTATAAAAAATCACATTAAAAAATGCAAATCATCATCCATGCTCCTTTTGGAATTAGATGAATTTTATTTTTAAATTTGCTGTGAATTTGGAGCCAGGAAGGCCTGATGCAAGATGAAGTGCACCTCAGTGAAGAGTGCAATCTATAAAATATTTTTGTTTTTAATGGAGTCACACAGACTAGGTCACTGCCACACTTAATGCTCTTTCTAATGCCAAACATTAGTGTAAAAGCTTTACACTTCAAAAGCAAAAAATTAAAGATATCCCCTTTTTAAGGTAAGTTTAACAATTATTTTAGTAATGCTAGAAACAAGGTCTGTATGCAAATTCTGGATATTCATATATATTATGACATTTGAGCATAAGATTTTCAGGGCATATTCTGAACTTTTGAAACTCTGAACTTTCCTAATGGTTTATCTGCTTTGTAACAAATGGTAAAGGTCTGGCGATACCAGACTTTGGATTAATTTAAGAAAAAAACTGATGTGGGTACCTCTCTGATGTAACAGGCCTTTCCACAAATGAAACCTGTATTTAAGGTTAGAATACCTTTAAATTCATTTAAAGTACTTGCTACGAATTCAGAAGACGTTAGTTCTTAACTAGGTACATTTAAGGACTATATCACTTCCACACATTCATTTATAGCTATTCATTCCAGGCCTTTCCTGTGGAAACACAACATACTGACCTAACAACGGCCATAGAAAGTTTTGGCACAGGTTGGCCTTTCTTAGATGTTGTGAGAAACCAGAAGACTTAGTTCTCCAGAACTCACATTTCAGGAGACCCAATCACCCAGCTGCGGTCTCGGCTCTTCAGGCCACCAAGGCTGTCCAGCCTGTCGTCCTTCTCTTCGCTCAGGCTCCGCTTAGTTGGTGGTGGAGTCTTCCTCTCTTCGTGGATGGAGAGACGTTCCATGCTGCTGTAAACCTGTGTACACGAAACGATCCTTCTGTGCAGAGGAAACAAACCTACACAAGGCCTTTTCTGATCAAGGGGTAAAATCTCTTCTCAAATAGGAAGGTACTCCCTGAAAGCAGGAACTGGGTAACGTTCTTGGACCAAAAGTGCAGATGTGACATGCTCGAGGTGTGCCAGGGAGGAAAGGCAAAACGCAAGCCTCAGGAGTGCTAAACATGCTTTTCTACAATAGCACCCAACACCTCTCCTCTGAAAACACAACACAAATCCTAAAACTTTTAGAAATTACTTGATTTTTTGGTTGTTGTTTTAATGATTCTCAAATCTAAGAGGAACTACTGCTGAAGACAGCTCCACAACTCTCGAGGGCTGGCATCTGGATCTTGAAATCTTACAATACAAATTCACTCCAGTGATAGGCATCACGCTCATGACCCCATTTCATTATCATCAGTCTATCAGCATTGCCCCAAGCTCATTTCAGAACAAAAAAGTCCTGCCCTCCTCAAGGAATCTACTATAAGGCTGACAGCTTAATGAAAGTGCCTTTCTTGGTTTTACAGCCGTCTTTAAATAATTAAATGATTAAGCAAAAAAATCCATCCTTTTAAAACTACACTTGACTGTGGACCTAATTTACATAAGAAGAGATTAATGAAAATAATGTTATTAAAAATTCAGAGCATCAACAAGATAACTATTAATAAATCATATGGCTGAATTGTCAGACAAGAATTTCAAAATATAATGAGCCTTTTATGCCTCCCACATTACAAATGCTGTATAATTTTCCAGGTCTTTAAAAAAAAAAAATTCATTAAAAGTGAACTTTTTCTCTTTGTGGCAAAAACACTGAACCCTAAAGAAAAGCTTTAGTCTAACAAATGAATAATACTCATGGTGAGAAAAGGCAGATGAAAGAAACCCCTACGTACTCATGAGAACTTTTTCAAAACACCAGCTAATCCTCAGGTCCAATTTTAAACATACTTTTGATGATGCAAATCAGGAGCAACTCCATAAAATTAAGAGTAACTGTTATTTAAACCACTGTAGCCTGGTTGAGGACAAAGAAGAACAAGCTGGTCCTTAAAAACTTACTTCAGTAGTGGAAAACTGGAGGAACTGCCATGAAAAAATGAAATATCTTTCAGAGCTCCTAAGCAAAACTCCTACTCCCATCTCATTAAGAGGGAAATACAATTCATAGAGCAGCCAGCTTTAAAACAGCATTTCTTCTCCCTTCTCCCCCTCCCAATCATACTGTATTTTATCCAAGCTAACAGCGGAGCTGTACTATTTTAAAATGTCTATAATTCCAATTTTTTTATTTCAGAACACCTGAATGAGAATGAGAGACCTGTGCAGCCCTGAATCCAGAACATGTGGCTGCAGGGGACCTCCTCAGGGCTTCCTGCCCATTTCCCCACCTTAGAGCAGAACTCACTCTCTTCTAACACCCGACTGAGGTTTCTCCAACCTGTTCTTAAAAACCACCAGAGATGGAAACCCCACAAACTCCCCAGGCAATGTGTGCCAGCTCTTAATTACTGCTGAATATTGGGAGCTTTTTCTTACCATCTAGCCTATACCTCCTTTGCCCCCACCATTTTATACCAGTTCTGGGTAGGACAGGAAGGTCAATGCACTTCTTTCCTTCCAGCAGTTATGTATGGTTAGGTTTTATGTTTTGTAAGATCTCAGGTCGTTCTTGTTGCTTTCCTCTGGACTCCCTTTTACTGGTCCATGTTTATTTTCAAGAACATTGCCCAGAACACGCCAGAATACCCCAGCTATGGCCTTCCTACTGCTAAACCCAGCATGGAAACTGCCTTTTCCCTCAATAATTTGGCACATGTAACTCATGATGCACTATATGCCCAGAACCTTCTCTTTGAAATTGTCACCCTGCCTTTCATTCCTTAGGCTGTATTTGAGACAATGAACAAACCAGAGATGTAAACTTCACCTTTGCTCTTACCCTCTTTGATTTTAGACCATTATTTCAAGTGTCAGAATCCATTTTCATCCCAATACCATCTTGTCACCTCCTGGAAGGCTCTTTCAGAATGACACTGTTCAAAGCAAATAAGCTTTGGATACTCCCTGTGCCAGCATCCAAGTCATCAGTAAATCAAACTGTATCAGATGCAGAAGAGACCTCTGCAGTACCCTGCTTATGGGTGAAACATTAGGAAATACAAAATGTCATTCTCCAGTGACTCTGGTACTCACCTTCTAATAGGCCCCAAACTACCACAGAATAAACAACACACACAGTTTTTTTCTTTCCTCAGGGAATACAACATGCCATGCGATCCCACACACTATCCACATGATTAAAATCTACCCCATACAAAGCAATGGAACCGTGTTCCTCTCTAGATTTTTTTTCTTTCATCAGGTCAGCACGCTCCTACCTTGCTGAACCTCGGTGAGCATGAGGAGAACTGCCGAATTTCCACGTGATCGTCATCATTAGTGTCCTCCTCTTCCTCCGAATCCAGGTGTTGGTACCGTTCTGAACGGGCTGGGAAGCAGACACGGCACGTTGCATCAGTGCAGGGAGTGTTGATAACTCACACCTCAAGCATTCCTACTGGTCTGCTTAAAGAACTTGGAGTGTTCATACCCCATGCAGGGTATTTTCCTTAATACTGAAACATACCCAGCCTGTTTTGCTCATCCTGTGCAATAACCAGTGAATATCTCCTTGGCATTTATCTTACACCATCAGTTGTATCACATTTTTGAAAGCAGCTGATACTCAGAAGCTGTCTCATCCTTCATAGGAGGGATATTTCTTCCCTACAGCAAACAATCATATGGAAGGACACATGGAAACAATTCACTGTGCCACTTTCCAATAAACAGCTTTTTGACTGTACAAAGTCTGTCCTGCTTACATACTACTTACATAAAAATAAAAATATTTACCCCCAAAAATATTTCCTCTTCTCCCTCCTACAACTAGAAAAAGGATTAGATTTTGTGAAAGAAAATGGGCAAGCAGCCAATATGCAAAGCTATTTTTAATGCAAAAGTTTAAACTGCCTCCAAAGAGATTTTGTGCTTTGAGATTTGCAGCACTGGATTTCTAAGCCAGCCACACCGGATTTTGTAGAGTGGGCGTTAATAAGTTTGGCTACAGAAAGCTGATAGCTACACTGAGCCAAATTTGAGGCACCATATCAGCCAGAAAGCTACTTTTATAAATTCTAAATTTTTTTGCATTAGGGTTTATAACAGCAACGCCAATTCTTATCAGCGTCTTTGTGAGATATTTCCTGACATGAGAATTCCAGCCTTTATAAAGGACTCACATCAAAGTCACCCCAACAACCTGCTGAGCATTCCTGGGCACATGGGGGTTTACCATCATTCCCTATTTGACAGACCCAGTGATTTGCAGCCCTGAACACAACGTGGTGCTTTTACCCACCAGGATCTGCTCGTGGCTGCTCTACTGGGCCTCTCCCAGTCGCTGGCCCAAACCTGAGTGACCAGAGCTCAATTTTCCACATCCAGGAAGTCCAGTTAGTGGTGGGAACACCCCACCACCTTGGTTTCTACGTGTATGTCGTACCAGTACAACCTCAAGAGATTTAAAACCCACCTTTGTCCCCTCTGCACAGCTTGACTCAAATTGGTCTCTGCAGAACCACACAGAGATGTCTCAATCTTTCTCTCTCTCCCATCCTACCTCTCCATCCAATTCCTAATCTAAAAGCCCCTTCCCCAGACTGGAAGAGCACAATCTAAATCCCTTTCCCCGCAGCAAAGGGCAGGAGCTGAGCAAGAACGTGCTTCCTACAAACTCCACCAGTCTCATGGCCCAAGGATGGAAGAGATTCCATTGAAGTAGAGCAGAAATTTCCACAGCTCAGGGATCTGAAACAGCCCAGTACCATCCTGTTCTGCAGGTGGAGTAGGGGAAAGACCCCCTGACCAGTGACAAAGCCAAGCCCTTTCCACCTGCTCAGCTCCTCCAGTCAAATGAGAAAACCTAGGGAACAGAGGCTCTGGGAACAGAGAGCTATCTCCATCCCTCCCACGATGCTCCTCCCTTCTCTCCCAAGAGCGCTGACTCTGTCTGGTGCTTATCTTGAAATACCAGGAATCTTACACAGCACTGATACCATGGCAGTTCCCAGACATTTATACACACCAGACAGACACTTCACTTCATATCACATTAGAGTTAATAATACTAAAATTAAGTGATACACTTGCAGGGAAAATAATTTAAATTACTTTAAATCTCTTAAGAATTTTCCCTACATACTTGTCTTCAAGGTTTAGGGTTTGTTTTGATTTTTTTTTTAAAAAACATTTTTTGGCTGAAAACGGTCACTAGGGAAAGATCATATTGCTCAAAAACTCAAGGAATTTGGATTTACCAAATGCTTTGGAAGAAGTGTAATAAACCCAGCATGACAATGGCAGCACCTCTCCCCGCAGGGCCATGGCTGGCAGGACTACAGGCACCAGTGAAAGGCCAAGTGACTTCAGCAGCAACATTTTTTCATTCAAAATTAATTTTCCTTCAAAGAAACCTTACTTGGCATTCAAGAGAAACTTTTTAAAGTAATTTCCATCAATGGTTTTTATTCAATTTCTAACAATGACTTATCTCTAGCAATTTCAAAAATGAAATATGCACAAGAAATATGATGCCATTTAGGCTAAATCTTTAGTCTTACTGTCAAAATAGCTTGTGTCATCCTCAGATTCCAACTGTGGGATGAATTCAGCTTTCTGCCGAAGTAATCCATTCCAGTCCAAATCTTTAAAGAACCGATGCTGTTTCACTTCAAAGGCACTACCTGAAATAAGCATCTTTTATTGCAGAGTGTTTCTTTCAGCATTTGCATAACATGAAAAACAAACCTTAAAAATATCAAGAGCCTAAGAGAATGTACTCGAGTACATTTAAGTCACGCATTTTCCAGGAATTCTGAGAAACAACTTATCCTTTTACCAAAGTGGTCATGCAGGATAAAATCTGGACAAGATTTCCTCCTTCCCACCTCCTTTTTCTGTTTAACAACAACACATGACTAAACTGGGTGGAAGACAGCATCTGCTATTCTATTCCACAGAAAGCTGCAAGACTTAGAATGATTAACATCTTAATTCAAAGTTTCCAAATTCTAAATATCATCTTGTTCATAACTGAATAAAGAGAGAAAACTCTGAAAGGTACTTAGCATGTGAGTGACTCCACTGTTGTGAATAAACTCATTCATGTGCTTAGAACAAGGCAAGGGCTTACAAATCTTCCTGATTTAGTATCTTTTGTTATTAACCTCAGAAGCTTGGGTACCCAGAAGGAAAAACTAAAGACTGTCTACCAGTATACGCATTTTTTTCCCAAATGAAATTAATATTCATAAAAGATGTTACTGTCTTTTTTTAAAAAGAGAAGAAAGAGCGGAGGAAAAGAGATAAAAGGTTTGCTGAGTGCCAGTGGCACTACAACACACCAAGTGAAACAGCAGCCTCAGCATTACAGGTATATAAGAAATCAAAGAAATCAGTCCATCAACTCATTTTATAAGGCAAGAAACTCTACATCTTTTCCATGACAGCAACATCTTTCAAGTACATGGATTTTAAGTAGAGAAGAACATGTGAAAACCATCTGATATCATTATTAATTCATGATCTATTCATCACCCTTGTGTGCACAAGTCTGCTGAATACATGTGCCTTTTGGAATTTCATATATATATGAACCTCATATATATATATATATATATAAATATGTATGGGGTTTTTATTCCTGAAGTGTAGTTTTAAATTGAAAATCCCAAATTAAATCAAACTAATCCAATCAGTGAAAGAGGAGCTGTGCTGTGAAGCCACAGTGTTGCACAGATTATTTTAAAACAAGGGTGTAGCTGGAGATTATTTATGGTTATTTACTATGAGGAAATGAGAAGTGTTGCCTTGTAAAACTTTAAATCTGACATTAGAATACAGAAGGACTGACATATATATCTCTGGCTTAGCCAAGAAGTTTATCAGATTTTTGCTGTATGTTTGGAGAATTCTACTGCACAGGCCTCTAGGAATGGCAAAGTTTTCATTTATTTTATTACACCCAGGAATTCACATCCATGGTGGGGATTAAGTCCCTAGTGGAAGAGAATTTCAAAGAAATCCGATTATACACTGTTCAAATGGAGACACAACCCTCAAGCCCATAATGGAACAGCACAAATCAGGGAAGTTATGTTGCCAAGCTGGCAGTGCCCCTTTCTTGTTTCCCAAACAAGACAGTGATATCTGCTTCTGGTCACATCCTATATGCACAAGGATCGTTACCTGTTCCCATTCTTTCCAGAGGATTTTGGCGGAGAAGCTTAGAAATGAGGTCCTGGGCATCTGGTGGCAGTGCATCATCACCTTCTGGCCAGGCAATTTCATCTGGGGACAAAAAGAGGCTTGACATTTTCTACCAGCTTCCTGACTAATTTGAATAACCATTCACATTCCCTCTAATGCAAAGTGCAGTGTTCAAGACTGCCCCAGAAGCGTAAATACCTTGAATTCAGCAGCTTGCATACTTAATATAATTCAGGCATTGACATTTTCCAAAATGCATAAAATTTAGCATCAGTTAAAGCTGCTGTCAATCCAAGCAGTGCTTGTGGAGGAAAAAAAAGCATTAAGGACTCTATTAATAAAGTATGAAATGGGACTTCCATGACAATCCATAAACAATGACAGTGACAATACTGTGGCTGTATCTCGTGCCCGCACATTCCACAGCTGTTATACTTGGAACAGAGAGAACAATTCACAGGTAATGATTTCATGCATCATATTTAGTTCTTTGCTGAAATTTGCTTTTTACAGAGGACATTTGCCAACTGTGTTAAAAATTTACTGTTTCAGAAAGCATTCCCAATAGGAAATGTTTTCACTGGCATATTCACTGAGTGAACACGAAGCAACAGTCACAAAGCAAGCAGGAGACAGGTTTTAAAAGGCTCAAGAAGTGAAGGTAACAAGTGCAACAGCTTCAATGTATTGTACTTAGAATTTCTTTTTATTTCATTTATACAAAATTACTAATTGACTGGCTTTTGGACCTACAGAAACAATAACCAAAATCAGACTGAATTAGACCAGTTGGTGGCTGCTCCTTTCATGTTCTCCATCAAAGAATGGAGAATGGAGCATTAACTTAAATGGAGAATTAACTTAAAGTTAAAACACAGAGCAGAAAAATCCCCAAATATTTTTCTTCAATCCCACAAGGATTTGTATGACTCCCACACCATGCACAACGACAGAACTATGCACCAAGATGCTAAGCAACTCAACAACATTCCATAGTTGAAATCAGATGGATGCTACTTTGACCCAGAAAGTTAGAAATGCTAAAAATTAAACCCCATTACTTTATACCTACTCCTTCCTGACTAAACTGAGGACCCTCGATCTCTCCCAGGTTTTACTTCACAGCACGCTTTGAAACCCCTTCAGAGCCAGAGCAGAAATACGTACATACCACTGATCACTTGTCCAAACAGCTCTTCAGGGGTGTCCCCAAAGAAAGGAACGCAGCCAACCAGGAACTCATACAGGATAATTCCCATGGCCCACCAGTCCACGGGCTTCCCGTAGCCCTGGCGCAGGATCACTTCTGGTGCAATGTATTCCGGAGTCCCACAGACCTCAAGAGAAACACGCAAGAAAGCCATAAATTTACAAACTGCCAAATTCACGTCAAAGCTTACCTCTGTGTTTTTGGTTTTTTTTTTCTTTCCCCCTCAGAGCTTCACAAGGAAGTTATTAATGTTTTGCCACTAACCACTTAATGCTGTGAACTACTTCCATGGAGCAAGAGTCTGTATTTGAAGGACACGCTACCCTGCCTGCACAGAAATAACACCTCATGAAATGAAATGTTCCTAGTGTGGACATGCCAGCTAAGTAGTTCTTTGGTGCATGTAAAGTAAAGCATATGGGGAAAAATGCATATTCTGTGTGTTTAGGTCTGTCTGCTTGATGGATGTCTGCTGGCACAGCAACAGCTATCAGGAGCTGAGTTTTGACAAACCTCTCACATTTCTGTGCTAGCAGAATTTAGTTTCACAGATGCAGAATTAGCAGCACAGCATGATTACACACTTCAGCCTTAAACTTGGGAGGTACAGCTGGCATGGACAACAGCTAAGGAAATCACATTGGAAGATCTAAGTTGCCTCGGGCTTAGAAGCAGCAACAAGAATAACAAAACAGTTATAAAAAAATACAACACTGCAAAGTGCAAGACCATGATCTAGTGACCAAAGAGTGTTCTGCTGGAAAAAGCACCCTTATTCAGAAGCAAAGGAAGACAGTAACACAGGATCATTATGAATTAACACTTGGCACAGCTAAAAAAGAAAAACTCAGCTCTGATCCCAGGTGTTTTCAGAGGAGTGAAGTATTTTTTAATCGCATTATGCAAGGCACTGGTGAGCCTGCACCCAGAACAGTTTCTGTCAACTATGCCCAGGAAAAAACAACTCAAACTGAAAGAGGTACTCAGAAGAGCTCTTCATTCATCAAAGGAAAATCTGTCTTGTTAGCTGGAACAACTTAGCTGGTTAAGCCTAGCAAAATGAAGGCTAAGGAGAAAAATGACCCTTAGTAAATATCAGGGGGATAAAAATCAATGTCTAAGCTATTAGACAAAATTACAAGAAACATACAGAAACTTGCCATGAACTTTTCAAGCACCAGAAGGGGGAGATCGTGGAACAACCTTCCAGCAAAACACATGTTACATCCCTAAACCAAATCCTGTTTACACCTGAACTGCTGTCTGGGCCACCCTTTCAATACCCTAAAGTAAAAGCTAAAATGCATCACTCCAAAACAAGAAGCTGAGGTAACAAACAATGACAATTTATGCACAAACATGAGAATGGACTTACATCTTTTCCTCCCATTCTACATCACACAGCACAGCGTGGAGACAGAGAGTGCTACAAACTCTGATTCCATCCCAAGACAGGATCCTGCATCTGATCCCACATCAATGGACAACATTTTTCAGCTTACCTGCTTGTCCAGGAATTCCCTGGTATCCTTCTCAATGTGTCCCTCATAAAGATTGGTTGTAAGACTCATTAACCCGATTTTGGACAGTCCAAAGTCTGTTAGTTTAATGTGACCCATGGAAGTTATCAGGAGACTAGAAGAAAGAGAAGTAAAATAATCCAACAGTCAATTAATTGTTTCACAAAAGCAATTTAAAAAACCAGAAGAACATGAGACAGCGCTAAGATCTCAGTGTTACATCCCCATTACACTCCTGGAAGAAACCTCCTATGCAACTGAGTATCACAGAGCAGCCAAGGCAACCAGGAATGAGACTACCTTCTGCCATAATTTCATCAGTGCAGCAACACCTCTGAGATAATATCTGAAGACATTCTTTCCACCCTTTCTCAGTGCCTATCTGGTTCTACATCAGTAGCAAGAGACTCCATAAAATCTCCTACATGTCAGATGGCATTGAAGACCTCTACTGTCTCGAGCACCCATGTCCTGTCGCCTACAGAGAAAGCCCCTGAAGGATTAGCTCTGTCCCTCCACCTTCTGAGGGGCTGAAGACTTACTTATCAGGTTTTAGGTCACGGTGAACAATCCCATAATTGTGTAGGTACTCCAATGCCAGAACAGTCTCAGCAAAATACATCCTTGCCATATCAACAGGTAGGGCACCAATGTTCTTGAGAAGCGTAGCACAGTCACCTCCTAAACAAAGAGTTGTACAGTGAAATGGCAGATGTCAGGAATTAAAAGTAGCTGTGGGTCTGCAAAACTAGATTAGATTAAGCTTTCTAAAGGCTGTATCTCTCAACCCTCTTAGTATGAATTCTGAATCTCTCCACACTCTCTTCAACTTAAACCAAATCTTAATCAACTTAAACCAAATACTAAAATCTTAGGAGAACTGAGATCCATGCATGTTTGGACTGGCTTTGCCCAAGAACTGTACAGATGCCATTTGCAAACCGTAAGCAAGCCTTGAAGAAAGGGTAGCTCATGACTGCTTGGTCTCTCTGTAAGAAAGTCCTTTGCTTCCTAACACTGGGCTATTACTATCAATACAGCAATATATAGTTACTGATACAGAAATACAGTGATATATTATGTGTGGTGTGTATATACATTATATATAGTAATGCAGCAATATTCAAATATAATATAGTAATATACTATTTCTGATATGCAAGCTTCTTAAAGTAGTAAGTAAACACCTCCACAACTCCCAGCTGGCTCTCCCAACACATGCAGAGGCAGTCACCCCTTTGGACACAGTGGTAGACATGGAAATAAGTCTGTGGACCCCTGATTCAGGCTCCTCAAGGAATATTGGCCACACATTTCATTTGACCTTCATCTCTACTTGCAAAGAAGAATTAATATTAAAATTTCCTATTGTCAATACATCTGGTTTCATTCCACTAATTTATCTGAAAGAGCACTGATACAATAACTATAAGCTTATTTCTCATAAACATTCAGCCAAGCAAGTGAGGCATAAGAAATTAATCCTATCCACCAGTGGAAAAATATTGCTTACAATAAGATGCAGTGATAAAACAAAATCAAATTATATTCCAAAGGATAAGTAAAACAAACAAAAGGAAAACCCAACCCCAGCATAAAATAGCAGTTTATTTTTTAGAAGGCTGCTAAAGAATAAAGACTATGTTTCTTAAATGCCTTTTTCTAACTGCAGTGCCAAGCAAACGCATTACGGATCTCGCCATGCCATCCCCTAGGAGAGGATTTCTTTCCAGAGAGGACTGGAAAGTTCATGCTGACTTCTGACCTCAGCAGTTTTCTACATGTGGCTTTGTGTTTGCTCAGCTCCACTGTTGGATCAGTCACATCCATCCCACCCGAGGTCCCCCCAGCAGGTGTGGGGCAGTGACGGCCTCACCTTCCACGTACTCCATAACCATGCACAGGTGCCGCTTGGTCTCGAAGGAGCAGAACATGCTGACCACGAAGGGGTTCTCGGCAAACGTCAGGATATCCCTCTCCACAAAGGCCTGCTGGATCTGGTTTCTCAGGATGAGGTTCTGCTTGTTGATCTTCTTCATGGCGAAACGCTGGCGGGTGGTCTTGTGCCGCACCAGATACACCGCCCTGCAAAACAGCACGCCAGGAGGAAAAGGTCCAGTTTCAGTTCAGGTTGGTTTGTTGTGCTTTTAGGTTTGGAGTTCTTTGCAGTTTTGTTGTTTTGTTGTGTTTTTTTTTTTTAATTTAAACAAGGATTGTAACTGTTTTGAATGGATCTTGACAGAGTTATCCATGACTCTGTAAAATCCCATTTCAGTGGCAAGCTTTCCCAGAAAAAAAGGAACCCCGTGACGCTTCCTTCCCAAAGCTACTCTGCCTTCTTGAATAAAGCAACATTTCTGCTGATGTGCCTAACAAGGAGATATTTCAAACGCAAATGTCACAAACTTCCTTAAGCATCATCGCAGAGAAACATGTATTTTTCAAGACTACAGTCACCGTTTCTCTTTAAAAAGTTGTCCAAAACATATGGAATCAGCACGATTTCTTTCCAAGCTCCATAAAATTAATTTGATGCAGCACTGTCACTGGGGAATCCCTTCAGTAAAGTATCTCTTACATTTCTATCATTTGCAGATCATTAGATTCCTGCACATTAATAATACAGTTTGCAAATAAAATTTTCATCCAGTTTGCCTGCCTTATTGAATCAGTTCTTGTTTCCTTTTCTCTGGAGTACATTACATTTAACATGGTATTGTGCCTCACCAGCAGCTGACTATAAAATACACCCAGGATAAAGACAGCTGTGAGTAGCAGCTTCTTTCTCCCCTTTCTAAAAAGTTACATGGGGCTTGTGCAGAAATATGACTGAAAACATAAAATCTTCTTTGTCTAATAATATGGCTCTTCAGCATGCTCTGTTGTATCTTCACTGACCAAAAACATGCTTACACTTTTCTCCACATGTAATTTTTAAGAAGTGAGTGGATGTTAACAAAGCACCCACTTCCACAAAGCACTCAAGCACATGCTCAGGTTTTGTTGTTATGACCTTCTGAGTATCACTGCTTTTCAGTAACAGCCTAATGACCTCACTGGTAAGGATTTGCGAACTGCAAAGAGTAAGGAACTGTCTTTTAAAATTCTGGATAGGTTTGTGTCAGCAGTTAAAGTTTTAACTGACTGAATTCATACTTGATTTTTCAATGAGCAATAAAATCTAATCACTTTTTTAAGCTCCCCAATGTAATTCTAGTATTTCTTTTAGCATTTCAAGTGCTCACAAACAGCCACATGTGTTATACCTAAAATCTGAATACATGGAAGGATGCAAAAGCATAAACTACTTCTTCCTCAATATTCTTGCTGTTTTAATCAAATCATATCAATAATATTTGCAGGTACAGAATCTTCCCCTTACTCATTAAGCCTTTAACAAAATACAAGGCACAGGATTAAACAAGACAGCATAAAAGGAACTACACACTGCCTTGATAAGGAATAAACAAAATACTGCAAAATAATTGTATTAGTCATGGAACTATTTTTTACCATTACTTAGGAAATCTGCCAATAAACTAAGAGGCAATATTTCCCCTAGAAACAATGTTTAGGGAAAATGGTTTTGTCATCTCAAGCTAAGGTACTGAAGTGTCTATATTTTACCTACCTGTCATACAGAAATAGTGCAGAAATAGTTAATGGAAAACTAGGCTTGATGTCTCAGCTAGGACAGGCTTCAGAAAAGTTGTGCCACAGAGGGACAGGAACACCACACTCCGAAAGTTTTAATGTAGGGCAACTAATTTTTACAAAAGGCCCCTGAGCTGCAGACTGTGTCAGTTCAGCACAATGCAAGGACTTGACAGCCAGGAACCATGCCCAGGTACAGGAGCTGCTGCCTAAGGAACCCCAGGAACCTGCAAGAAAGGGCATCTCCCAGAAGATATGACGAGTGTGGAACCTCTGTAAGACCCAAGGAAAATTAACTGATGCTTTGGACCCAACAAAACCCAGGCAATAGTCAAGCTTTGCTGCAACCCTTTGCTGGGTAGGACAACAATAGCATTTTCTTCTGATGGGAAGTCTAAAAGCCTTACCCATAAGCACCATTACTGATCAGTTTAATCGTTTCAAACTCTTCTTCAGATGGAGTTTTCTTTGACTGGACAGAAGCCCCACGGCTCTGGGGAAAGACAACAAGAAAATGGAAATCAGGAGCAAGAATGACTTCATTCTAGGTATGGGTTTTTTTTGTCCTTTTCTTTTTTAACACCATTAACTCAAACTCAATCCATTTCTAAACTTCTGGAGTCCTCAGCTTTAGGACAACTGTATCCTTAGGGTGCTTGCAGATTCCCTCCCCAGTTATTAGCACAAAAAGTCAGTGGGCTATAAGATTCAGGTCTTTCCTCAATATTACATTAAAAAAAAAAAAACAAACCAACAATAAAATTAACTAAGAAATCTAGAGAGTTACATAATAAAATTTTTCCACTGCTTTTTACTTAAGTCAACTCTCTTCCACAGCCATCACATTTTACAAACACAGATATAAAGAATTCCTCCAGATGATTTTTATTTGTAAAAATTAAAAAAAAACACCAAAAACACAAACTAAAAAAAACCCCCAACAAACCAAAAAAACCAAACTTGGTGATAATGCCTGTTAGCATCTTCTAAGCATTTCACCACCACTCTGTAAAGATTTCCACATTTTTAGGAGTGCATATTCTAGTTGTAATACGTGCTTTTAAATGTCATCACTTTTTTTTATTTTTTTAATTAAAATTACTCTGCATTATAATTAATTCTTTACTGTAGACTACTTCTTTTCATAGGAAAAAAAAAAGTGCTAGACAGAGTGAGTGTATTATTGCTTTACCTCGACTGAATCATCTGTCTCAGGAGTGTCTGGGCTGTCATAGCTATTCAGCTGGGCCATTTCTGAAAAGAAAGAGGAAAGATTACTCCTAATGATCTCAATCAAACACTATTCTCTTTGTTTATACAAGAAAAACAGGATTTTAGAGGTGCTTGTAGATGATGAAGGACATTCTTCCCCTCTGTAAAAAGTCACCCCAATTATACAGCGATAACCTTTAACATCTCGTACGCTGCAGGCAGTATTTTATATAAAAGATGAATATAATTAATTGCTCTTATTTCAGCCTGACTTATTCTAGATGGTTTCTATAATAAGTAAAAGCAATAAATGCACGTTTGGGGAAACTGCTGCCTAGTTAATATTAAAACCTACTCCATACATGTATGTCTGCATATGGCCTGGTGGCACCTCTGTGCTCCAGAAAGAAAAAGCATCACATTTCGAACTGCCTCCCTACATGGGACAGGTCTGATTCTGCAAAACGCTGAGCAGCAGCAAAGTGGGGGAAAGTCAGTTAGTTTAGGCTACTCAGCTGTCGTAGGAGATGCTGTAAACTTTGCAAACCCAAATCCTACGTTGACTACGAGTCTCCAAACAGACACCACTGACATTTCTGGGTGCCCTCCTTACAGAAAGGAAATGAGGCACCTTGACATCTCCACACAATTTCTAAAGGAAATTTGACTTCAGTAAGGGGAATTAGCAATGGAAAGGTTCTCTCCCATGACAGGGATCAAAGGAAATTTCCCTTTAATGTCAGATTTCAACAAATGCTATTAAATTGCATTTAGCAATCTTTGGTAGAAATTTTCCCGAAGAGCTCTTCACTTGAAGTCAACCTGTCACTGTCATTCCAGTAAACACTGCAGAAGTTAAACTAGTCCTAGCCAGACTACTAATTTATGTTAAAATTATGCTCTCCTGAGATAGCAAAAAGTATGGTTAGATCGCTGAAATATTCGACAGTAACTTCCAGTCTCTGTCACACTTTCTATTGTTGCTGAACAAGCTGTGAATGCTCGGAAAACTTGTCATTTCAGCTAGAAAACTGCCAGGCAGAAATATTAATTCACTAATTCTAAAGTTAAGCTCGTTTGGGCCAATGCATGTTTGTATTAAATTTACCAGATGCAATTCTGGCACCGAGCAGAAAGGCTGTTTCTGTCCTTATATTACCCTCTTTGGTTTGGTTGCTACGTAACATGTAAAATCACAATCTCACCTCCACCTAAAAATTCATGCTAACCCTGGTTTCTCCTGGAAAATCACAACAAACACTCTTTTCCCAGAGAGAACAACTAAGTGGGATGACAAGATACTTTCCAACCAGGCCACTAGCAGGCAGGCAGATCATAAAAATAACAGGTAAATTTACTTTTACTGTCCAACAGCACAGGGAAAACAGTTATATCATAAAGCCATTTTCTAGCATTGTTTCAGCTATAATACAGGGAGACATTATTAACATCATAAGTAAAGAACTGTCACTGTTGATGTGCGATCCTTATCCCAGCAACATTCCTTTGGGACATGGGGCTGGAAAGGACAGCCTAGAGTTTGACAGCAAACTCTAGAAAACAAAGAAAAATGGCCTAGAAATTAAAGTAATAAAATAAAACCCTCCTTCGGTTACGTAGCGACCAGGAGATCTGGCTATCCTTTCAACAGTTTGGAAAGAACAAAACAAGAGTTCTTACCCTCCAGGGGATCCCTGGTGAGTCCCAGCTGGCTGATAATATAACGAGGAATGTCGCATTTAATTCCTTGCCCTTCCTTGGCATGGCCTTCTGCAGCTTCTAACAAATGGTAGAACTCTTCAGGATCAAACTCCTACAGCAAAGCAGAGAGAGAAACAGAGAGAGGTAAATGATGCAGCTTTACCAGTGTGAAGGTAAAGGTTTCTCCTCCAAACAGGAGATTGCTCAGAAAGTCTCTTCCCACTCTGCTCTGCAAGAACAACAGACAGTTACATCCCGCTGGGTGTCCACTGGCTCAGATCTGCAAAGAAGACAGGACAAGGACTGTAGGGACTTTTGACAAACCAAGCCCAAACTATCGGATAAAATGGTGTTGATGATGTAAGCATTACCAAGAGTAAGTTCTGTCACACTGAGATGTGCCAGGGAAAGGTCTGTTATGAGGATTGAGGTGCCTTCTTTTGCCACCTCTATCTGACAGGTGACTTAACACAATATAAACCTTTCCTGCTGTCAGATGTCACTTCTGATCAAACCATATCCCCACCCAATCCTCTAACTGTCCCAACCTTAGCAATTACCAATAAAATTATTAATAAAACAACAACTGCTACTTTAACATAGTACAGGATCACCTCAGGAACTCAGCCGTGGTGTATCTGATCTCTAAGGCCAGACAAGGTTATAGAGGGTGTTATCTCTTTTACTGGACTAACTTATAGAAGAGGAAATAAAAGAAAGGTTTGGGCTGCAGGAGCAGTCTGCTTAGAAGCAAGTTCATTAGTTAACTTTAGCCTTCCCCTACAAACCTCATTATTCACCAGCAATGAGCAGCTTCACCAAGTTTCTTCAAAAATTTTCCAGTGAAATGGGAGGATAAAAGGGGAGGAGTTACAGGGCATCAGTAAAGAATTGATGTGAGTGTGGTCAGCAGCATAAGAGGAAAGAGAGCACAGAACTGCAAACAAGAAAAGGAAATTAGAGATTGTAATGATGTCAAGATATCTGAACGGTTAGAGAAACAGAACAAATGCACTTTTCCGTGATTGCTCCAAGTAATGCTGCTTGGATAGATGCTGTCACCAAAGACAGTAACAATGCAAGAAACAAAGGTCCTTCCTAAATCCTCTGGAAAAGGATTAATCAACACTCAAAGAACTGGCAGACAGCAGGAGCCAGACCAGAAAGAGATCGTCAACAGAATTCAGTGCAATACAGAGAGCAAGGTGAAAGGGATGTTGGAGTCAAGAAAGGACTCTTCAAGGTACAATTGCAAGTCATTTATTAGTAAGTAAGGACAGAATTAAAAAAAAGAAAACAAACTTAGTGACAAAAAATTAAAACATTCAATATTTAAGAAACTAAATAAAATCATGTTCTGGTTTCTTTATAGTAGATTTAATAATCTGAATACAGAAGAATGATCCCTACTATGTGCAGGTAGATGCTATGGAAAAATAAACTGAAAAAAGAATAAATTAGATACTTTTCCCCAAAGATAGTTTCAGAGATGCACAAAACATATTATTGTTTTCTTGAAGCCCCAGAGATTTACCCTGTCAATAAATGTTTCACAGTCCAACAGGTAATACAAAGACTGAAGCCAAATAGCTTAAGTTTAGAATACTAAAACGCCTTCAACTGCATTAAAACAGTCACAACCATCACAAGCACTGTCTATATGGTTATTTATTTACAAGAAAGAAAGAAAGAAGAAGAAGCTGTGTTATTAAAATGAAATTTAATCTTAAACTGTAGAAAAATACTTATAAATTCACATACAATTGAAGCTAAAAGTTAAATTACAAAAGTATATAAAAATAAAAATGAGATGTAGTTCTCAAAAGCTATTTAAATGGCTGACTATCCATTACCATATTTCTTGTTGTTTTATGGGATAAAAGGAACATTAATATTTAATTCTTCATGTCACCAGATTAAAATATGTATTTGGAAAAAAATGCTAGAAAGGCAATGCAGGTAAAAAAACAAAACAGAGAAGACTAACACACAGATCCAAATATTATTTTTATACTTTGGACTCTAGCCATTTCATTGCCAAGGTTGTCACCACATACTTTGGAATTCATTACTCAAATCTCAGTGATTCCTCTGCTTCCACCTGCTCCCACTCACTTTGCAGAACATCAGGAGCATAAGGCATGGAGGAACCTGGAGACAGCATTGGTTTGTGGCTAAGAGAAGAGCTGCCTTGAGTTTGGAACTCAAGCAGGTATAGAGGTGGCTGCATAAAACTTCCTGAAGTTCCAGGTTTTCCTAGATGATGTGTTGCTATTAGAGTGTACACAAGCATAAATGGTGATGGTGAATGCAGCAAACACAACCACAGTGGATTTAAATTTATCTCCTTTCTTCACTGTCTTCACTTCAAAAAAAAAAAAATTTGAAGAAGCGCTAGAAGATAACTGGAGTCACAAAAACTCCTCTACATCACAAAAGTGGTTTTGAAAATCAAAAACTCCCAGTCTGAATGGAGTTGAGTCCAGGATTTTCAATGTAATCTGGGAGACTTCTTGAACAAGTAAGTGTAGGCATCTGTCTTGCTGGTTGTGCAGCCTACTTCCTCACTGACAGTGGTCTTCCTTGCACTGTAGGGTTCCCAGCAAAGCAATCCATCTGATGGGCATGGAGGAGGAACAAGAGAACCCTCCAAGGTCTACTGGTTCTTAGGACTTCTACAGGTGCTTTCAAAAACTGGTACCATTGGAAAGACTGGACCGCTCTTGTCGACTTTGTCAAAGAAAGCTCTGCAAAACTCATCCATCCTCTAGTGACTCCAAGGATAAAATCACCCATGGGCTTCATCATGAATGCCCTCAACATTCTTCACATGTTAGCTGATGTTAACTGTGCACCCAGCCACAGATTCCTAATCTAGCCAAGTTCTCTAATGCCTGAAGCCCATGCAGCATCCCTGTCATTTTTATGTCCAGAAAGTACCACCATGTGTGCGCCTTGACACACCAGGGAATTTCATCCTGTCATTAAATAAGTTTCCACTGTAGGTTTGTGACAGCTTCTCCAGCACTCTCACAATTTTTGGTCACTCCTCCTTACACTCTCACCACTTTTTCAACACCCTTTTGAATATTAACTCATAAGACACTTAGTGCTTCTTTTTTTTAAATATCGATTTATTTTTCATCAACATCTTAATGAGAACTCAAAGCTTTCTCTTGAAGGCTTGGTGCTCCTTATCTCCTCAAACACAGCTCCCCTCTTTAGACCCTGCCCACCCTCTCCCGAGGACCCCACCTACCAGGCACTCGAGCAGCCGAGCTGGCCGCGCGATGATGATCATCAGCTTCTTCACCAGCTGGGTAACGAAGGCGACCTCGGAGCTCTCGGATCGCTCGTGGGCCTGTGGAGAGCAGAACGTCACATCACCGTCCCAGCACTGAACTCCTTGTTTCCAGGTGTCAGATGATGAGCACGGAGCAGCCCCCAGCTCAGTGACCGGAATTCGGCAGCAAAAGCATGACCGAGTCAGGGCAGGCAACGAGCTCAGCTCGGCCACGTCACACAGAGCTTTTCCATCACAACTCACTCCTATTATCATGCCAGAGATATTTCAAAGGCTCTATTTGCATTATATCATCTATCAATTATATCAGATACAACGTGGTTTTAGTTTATTTTTTAGAACGAGAAGGGGAGTACCGATTTTTTCAGTTTTACCTTCCACACAACACTGACATCTAGATAATGACTAACAGCCACACGTACTTCTAGGCTTTACTGTCAGCTAGAATGTGAACTACTTCTGTTCATCATCAAGAAAAATTTGACTTCAGTTTCTCTGAACAAATGCATTGCATTGCATTGGTGTGAATTAGGACCAAGCAAACAAGCAAAGCAAAGAGTATATAGAAACTTAATTCAGAGGATTTACTCCTGCCTGTTACTTTACCAGATTTCAGTAAAAATTCAAGGCTTAGTTGCAAGATGTGTGTGTGTGTCTGAGAGGGTGTCTTTTTATAACAGTAAAGATACTAAAATAATTTAAAAAAACCCCAACACAACACAACAAGCCCCCAAAGGACAAATTTGAACAACCTCCCCAAATTACTCTTCTCTTGCTGAAGCACACAATGGTTACATTATGAGCCCTAGAGCGGAAATAAAATAGTGTTTCATTGCTGAGTGATAAAAAGGTGGTTCCAATGACATGCAAAAACTCTTATAGTTATTTTTCTCCCAAGGTTCCCCAATTATGCTTTAACACAGCTACAAATATAGAGTTCAGAACTTAACCAATGAGGTTTTGCTGGCAACGAGCCCCTTGCTTATAGAAATGATATTTTGTCAACAAGGATGCAAGCAGTAATAAATTAAAAGGTTCATTTAGCATTGCTCATTAGCACCACCTAAGAGAAAGACATATGTGTCTGAGAAGTCAAATCACAAGTGGTGAACACCTAAAAGAACAATAAAAACACAGGGAAGCCAAAATTCAGAGCTGTAAATAAACAGTCAGCATTTTAAATAATATATCTCTGATACTTTGCTACCAAAAAAAAAGTTAAAAAAATCAAAAGGTTTATTATTTCTCATTTTGATAGAGGTCAGAATAGAAATGTTGATTGTCTCCTTCTGCACTGATTAGCTCGGGCTACAATTTTAACCTTGAAAAGAACAATGTATGTGCTAGTTCATTATCTAAAAACAACATTAGAGATCCTTCCTGGCTACAGAGCCGTAAAAAATAGATTATTTTGAATGTACTGAAATAAGTTGTAGGGGTTTTTTTCCTAACTAAAAGGTATTTTCTAATTATAAAATAGAAAATAATCACAGTGAAGATGATTAGTATTCACTTTGTGTCCTCTAATGCATTTCGTAAACTTACAAGTTAAAATATGAATTCTAGAAAGAAATTAATGCTTTCATATTTGAAAAGCCATTTCAGATCATCAGGGTTAGCTGCGTTGAAATTAATAAATAAAACATCAACAACTTCGTATTATTTGAAACATAAGCCCTTTTCTTCCCCTCTACACAGGTTATATTATGCAAGAAATATAATATAATAGATATAATTCATCATTTTACATCCATTTATATTGTTAAAGCGAACTTAGTCTTTTAAACCAAGTCCTTTTGTTTTCTCCTTTTCTTATCTATGATAATTCAGGTAAAATAACTTAAAAACATAACTAACTTAATCAGGCATCTGTTTTGAAAATGAAAAGCCAGACCATGACTGCCAAATGACACAGAAAAGCAAAAGGAAAATAAAAATTTAAAAAAAAAAAAAAATTTTACAAAAACCAAACACAACTTGTAACAGCCACTCAGCCATCATCTCTGCACAGCGCTGCTCTTCCAAGATCCTCAGTAAAACTGCCTCTTCTTCTTCTTCCCTTCTCACACAGGACAGCCCAGACATCCCCACTGACGTGTTGTTTACAGCCTGTCCCACGCACAGAGCCCGGGATCCCGAGGGTTGCACGGCCAAAGCCCCGCCTGCCACTTCCACCTGCCGGGTACCAGACGTGCCACCTCACCCGCAGCTCCCCATGACGACACTCTTGCCTGAAGGATGCTGCTGGCATCTCAGGGTTTTCCCCCACACACACACACTCCACCTCCCAAGGGGAGGAGGGAGAGGCTGATGGGGCTGTGGGGAGAGGCTGATGCCATTCCTGCACACGTTGCGGGTGACACGTGTACAGGAGGTAGCGATGGCTAATTTACAAACCCATTGCCTTATCTGAAAGACCCATCCGTCACTAACTGTAGCCACTGGGGCATGAAATTAAAATCACTGTCCTCCCCTGGGGTTCAGCAGGACCAATAGCTGGGATATATGCAAGTCACAACGCTGTAATTGAGCTAATATACTGATGGAAACCAAAACAATAGACCTGCAGAAGGCAAGAACCAATAAATTTACACTCAGGTTCCTATTAAGAAAGCAATCCCAATCAGAATATCCATTTGCCAACATGCACCATCAGTCACTGCACAGAATACTTACACCCTCCCCTGTTTCTTTTGTTCCATGCACAGAAACACCTGTAATCCTTCACCTTCCTGACCAACTGGTCACACCTACACAACAGTCAGACTTCCTTTTTTTGACTCTGGCCAGCAAAACTCTGGCCAGTTTTACCTCATCAATTCAGCCAAGCAATAACAGACTATAATCTTTTATTTCCCAGTAACCTGAGGTCCTGTCCCATCCTCTAACCCGTGGCAACAGATAAAGAACTGAATATCGTATGTTCTTTTTTTATGTAAGTGATTTATCTTAATTTTCAGTATTTTTACTTTGAATGTGAAGTGTAACATTCAAACTCATGTTTTCCAAAATTAAGGAAATCTCTTAAATTCATTTTTACTTCATGATAATTTCAATGATGCAATAAGCAATAAGTTTTCTGGCTAAAAGACAATATTTCATGCTCCAAACAAGGGAAAAGATCTCATTTGCCAGAACTAATGAGATTTGTTGGCATGTTATTACAAAAGCCAGGACCTAAAAGTCTTCTAAAAGCTTTCTGGTTTGGTATATTTAAACAGCTCATTATTTACATGCCCAATTACTCTGTTTTATATTTTTTACAATATAAAGTAGACTCAAACTATTAAATCAAGTTTCCTTTCTATGATTTGGAATGCTGTGCAAGTTTAGTTTGTGATGAGGTGTTGGAATCGACACCTTAAAAAAGAATTTCAGGAGAATCCATTCTTTCACAGTAAAACTGTATGAAAATCCGTGGGTTTTCCTGCCATTTGGTGACCTCATTATTCACCAATAAAGCATCTTCCCAATCTTTAAATATGTTATAAAAATATACCATAAAACTACGTATCCTGCTGCACAGACCATACAACTGCCTAAGCCAAAGAGCTTTTTGGATGACCTTGCAATTGGTATTATTTATGTAGAGAATAACTCTGTGATACCTTACAAACTGAGCAAAGGTTAAGACCCTGCCACCACATTTGGAATAATCAAACCTTCTTGTGTTTCAGGTGAGTCATCCAAAAGAAATATTATTATCACCAATTCCTATATATTACAACTGAAAGGTCCCAATTATTTCCTTGTAGAGTGCAGTTTGAAGGGCAAAGAAGGAGTAGGAAGTAGAGGAAACAAGTAGTTTTTAAATATTAAAATAAAAAAGATAAGCCAAGGAACTATGATAAAACAGAAAAAGAATAAATGAGAAAGATGTGGAATGAAACCTTTGGCATTCCTCTGCTGTCTTTAATTTCTTTGTTCTCTTCCTTCCTGTCCTGCTCCGCCTCCCTTGTCTCTCTAAACTTTCCTCTTAATCACCTCTAGCCCACCTTACTTCCTACAGTAAATCAATTAAACTTAAGAGCTGACCCTTCTCTCACCTTCTCTGCAGAAGATGTTCAGGAGGAAGGGGTCAACCTCAATTCCTCAACAAGCTCAGAGATGACCACTGTATCTTCTCTAATAACAGTTCAATGTCACCCTTTCCCTGTGCTTCAGAGCAGCAACATAATGCCCACAGGATCAAGGGGAAAAGGACATTTAAGGAGTGTGTTTTGAGGATTTGTTCTGAGGGAGAGGGGAGAAAAGGAAAAAGCTGATTTATCTGAGCCACACCTCCGTCAGGACCCTGATTAACCTCTTCAGGCCAGAAGACAGGAGTGAAAATGCAGACTGGAAGTGGCCAGCCCTAATTTATGGCTCTCTTAATTCCTTTCAGTATGAGAAACACTGTCCACACACAGAGGAGGAAAGTCTAGGAGAGGGAGAATTTCAGGCCCCAAGGATCTGCTACCAGAAATATTAAAACAAACTGTAGTCCTCCTGAAATGTGATTTCACCAAGTGTATACACCCACTTTTAATGAAATCTTTCCAGCTTCAAAACCATCACCCAAAGAGGCCTGACCCCTTATTTCATAGCTGACACGTGCAAATACTCTGCTTCCAGACTCCAGAGATTCCAGGGGGACCCACAAGTGGTTACTGAAACCCCACAGGCAGACAACCACATAGGCCCTCAAAAGATATTCCCTACCTCTCTTTATCTGCCAAAATTATCTTCCCCACCCAAGCAGAACACCACAAATCCAAACATGAGTCATTTTTCTCGCATGCATAATAAATACCAGGAAAATTGCAGCCACACTCGTATAAATGGGGTAGCCAAAAATTTTAGCTGATACAAGGGAAGATTCTGCAGCTTGCACAAAGCTCTTTAATACAACAATTGTACATTATTATGGTATTTTTATTCATTTGCCATTTTCTAATGAAAGAGTGGCAAAGAGGCACAAGCTGGTGCGACTCATGCCAGTGGGCTGGCAAACAGATCAATGACCATAAAAATCATCAGGAGAACAAATGATTTCAGGTGTTCTGTTTCTAGGTGTCTCTGGGATGTTTGTTATCTCAGACTGCAATCTTTATAAATCCTGTCTTTTCAGCTTGCTATCTCATTAAATCAAAGCAGAAGATTAGGAAGAAATTCCAAAACAGAGGTCTGGACTCAGCAACTGCTAATAGCACTGACTCTTTGAAACAGTTAATTACAGCATAACTATTAAGAGATTTTTAAATTCAATATTGTTGTCATTTTAAAGGATAAGAGCAATTTTTAACGAGTAGCTGAAGCACAATGAGCATGCATTAAAATTGTGCCCCCTTGTGTATTTTCATAAGCTTTGATCGCCACAAAACACACACAAAAGTACTAAAAGCCCACAACTGGATTAAGTTCAGCTCTAGAAAGCCTTTTATGAAAAATGTATAGCAACACCAAAAACTATGGCCTTTTCACTCCTTGAAGGCACTATTTTAATTAACAAGTCATTCAGAGTCTTGAAGTTCATAAAAGAAAAGTTCCGTAATTTCCTTCATCTGAATAAACCCAATTTTCATAAATGGCAAAGACTGCCTTTGACTTGCTCATATGCATATTTAATTTTTTTGTACAAATGAAGTTCGCAGGTGAAATTATTTCCTCAAATTCACCCACAGCAGAACAACTGGAACAACTCAGATCTCCTGACACCCCCACGTGTTTCCCCTCCCCTGGAACCCGCATTTTTCTCTCCTAAAAATCAAAGCTCGGGCTTATTGGTTAAGGTTGCAACCAAAATGACATATCCTACGTTTCAGAGCACTTACATCCTGGAGAAGTTTCTCCAAGTTTTCCTGCAGCTCATAAAAGTACCGAGAAGTAATAAGACCTTCCCGTGATTTATCCAGGCAATCTCTGGCCAGCTCAATAACTTGATGATGAATGAAACTCAGGACCCCATCCGCTAATTGCAGCACGTTCTCCGGAGCATTCGAGGCAATAAACTCAGCCAGCCGTTCTTCCATCTGTGCCGTGGCCTGAGAGTACAGAACAAAGAGAAATTACCCCCCAATTTTACTAACACGGATCTTAAAAACACAAACAAGCAGGGCTGCTAAAGTAACATCCGCAATTGCACGAGGCTTAAAAAAAAATACACATTCCAAAATACAACAGCGTTTTGCTGAGAGCCAAAAATAGCGTCTCACAGGCAAAAGTTGGGAGCAAACAGCAAAAATTAATCAAAACACACTTTCTGAAGATGCAAATGACCGTAAAAATCTCTCGGTCCTGAGGCTGTATTCCCCCCTGGGTCTCCGGAGTAAGGATGTAAGACACGAGGCAGTTTTCAGAACTTTTAGACAAGACCATGGAAGCTGAAAATCATTGCCCCAGGCAGCAGACACACGGCATTTCTATCACTCTAAGCCCTGGTATCCTGTCTCCAGAGAAACATCTCTTTTTGCTGGTGGTGGAAAAGGAAGGAATGGCCATATCGACAGCTGTGGGATGCACAGTCTTCTACCCTCGTTTCAGTGAGATGTTGACTTTCAAAGTTTGCTTCCACAGATTTCAATATTCAGCTTTTTAAAGAGCAAACACATTTATTTTCACCAACAGATCACTTTGGCACATTGCTGTGTAACTGAAGCGTTCAGCTTGGTTTTTCTAAAAACACAAATCTGATCTATCCTCATTACTTCTCGAGTACCAAAAGCCCCAGTGGCAAACTTGGGTTTTGTCAAAAACCTCCAGTATAATTAGGAATGACTTTAAACCAAAACTTTGCGTTTCCAATATGTAGATGGAAAGCCTACCAAACCCAAAGAAGTCTGGATCAGTATAAGGTAAATTTAATGCAGGTTGTACAGGGAATATCAAGACAATGTTATTCAGTTTGTTTTGAAAGTACTCTTTAAAATGGCTGTTTAAAGTATATGTGACAATAAACAAAACATCCCCCTTCCAGCCTTGATCTGATTTGGAATTTTAAGAAAAATACAAACAGAGCCAAAGCATGGCTCTTCCTCTCACTCTTGTGAGCATCTGTTATGCCAATAAGAGACATCAGAAATTTAGTAAATTTGAAATACATATAAAAAAAGTTTTCAGCCTTTTCCATCTCAGTCTCTATGTATACTAAATCCATTGCTTCTACTGTAGAATCAACATATGAAGTTGAGAAAGCAGCTTCAAACTCTCAGCAAACTGCATTGTTTGGAAATGAGATGTAGGAGCAGGGCTCCTCCAACGAGCACTGCAAATTAATCCTGAGCTTGGGCACAAGTTCATTGAATGCAAAAAGTGATTCTTTACCTTTGGAAACCTTTCTTTGTACACATGGTTCATCATTATTATTTCACTGTCAAAGGAGACTGGAGAGCGACCCGGGCTAGAGGAGAAAAGAAATTATGTTATCATTTACAGATATCACACCAAAACCTTTCAAAATCCAGTGCTGGTCATAACACTGCCACACTGACTGCAGCCCTTCCAAACCTTTGAGTTCCCTTCAGTAATGGGCAGATGCTTAACCTGAGGGAAAATCCTAGCAAGCAATGGCAGCCTGCAGTGATCTGGAAACTGCCAACACCCCTGTCCGCACGTGGACTCAGGCAGAAACCCACCTAGTTTTGGTAAATTTTGGTTAGACAAGCCCTAACACAGAAGCAGGTAAAACCCCAGTGCATTTGTTGCAGATACATTTGTTATTTCCCTTGTTGTGCTACTGCCCTACGTGGCAGCAGGAGCAGCCCTGCTCCAAAAGTGCCAGAAGGGAGCAGAGCAATAGGAAGCAAGGAAGTTGAGATGACTTGCTCTCCTTTGTCTGAAGGGTACCACAATACAGGAGGGATGCACAAGCAGGGTTATTCAACTAAAATCTTATATATAAATGCCACAAGCAACAGGAACAGAACACTTTCATGAAAAGTGCACTCCCTTGAGGCACGTCACACCAGGGATGCACATGCATCTATGCATGGCTTAGCAAGGAACTTCAAGCACACCAAAAAAACCAGGACACTGAATCTTGACAAGCTGCATTTATATTAGTGTTTGGGTGGTTTGATTTGGGTTTTTTTGTTTTTTGGTTGTTTTTTTTTTACAGAGAAGAGTTGCATCTTGTTTCATCACATCTGATGGTATGCAGTGCTCTGACTCATCCTGCCACTGAGGACAGCAGATGAGGTAATGCAGATAATCCCCAGCTACAGGACTGCCTGCAGCATCTCATTTCTCCAGTTACCTTGTTTTAATGTTCAAGACAAGCAAGGGCTTCAATTATTTGGCATCCTACATGATCATTGTCTTCGTGATTTTAAGAGTATTAAATACTACTAAAAATAATCTATTCTAAAAAATACAATTTTATCTTGAATGAGTTCAAACATTTCAAACTTTCTAGTGAAGGATGAAATGAATCTCCCTAAATGGAATAAATGCATTTTAAACTTGGAATGCATTACAGTTACTACCTTGTTGCTAACCTATTTAAAGGGAAAAATATTCTTCTGGCAACATATATTAACAATCCAAAGAAAATTTAACTCTCTGTCTCACAGGCTACAGCAATACCAATCTCTTTTCAGGCCTTGTGCTGAAATTCCATGAATTACATCATGTCTTCTTTTTATTACTGTTTATCCCTTAGCTTGGGAAAAGTACTTCAGATTAAATCTCTCACTGAATCCTTACACTGAAGGAGAAAAATACTGATTTGAATGTTTTGGATGTGAAGTAAAACCACATTTTCACCAGCTTCCCTTAGCTTGGTAGATAGTTATTTTTAATCAGGGAAAATTTCCTTTAAGAAGAAACTTACATTGATATTCATATGTAGTGTATGACATGATTAAGCAGAAGGGTAAGAACATTTAAATTGCAGGCTTATAAGCAAATCCCCCCATGTGTCTCGCCTGTTACCCTTATCCTTTTTTCTCTAAGACCAAAGAAGCTGACACAAACACAACACTTGTTTACTGGTACTTCACATGGAGCTGAAGGACTTGGTGAACAGAGTTACTGGAGAATTTATTTCTCTCTAATGTAATTTTTCACTTTTTGATCTAAGTGAGGTATAAATTACAAGGATATAGAAGCTCTTTGATACCAACTACAGAAATATGGAGGCACACACATACTTCATTTCAGCAGTAAAATTTGCACATGATTAAGTATTTGGTATCTTTGGGCTACAATAAAACATGAGGGACTTTGCCTTTTGCTTTCAAGGCACTTTATTCATATGGATACAGAAAATTAAGAGCTATGCAGAAATCAAGCTACTTGAGCTGTCCTACCAGCAGATGTAGCATTTCCTTGGGGAGAGCTACGATGACAGGAGAATTTATTGGGTTCGCTTTTATTTTTTACAATTCTGAAACAATTTCCGTGCACAACAACTGGCAAGAAAATAAACACTTAAAATCCCTCTGCTTCCTTGGGCACTGGCAGTTTTGCCTCTCACCTTTGGGAGCTCATCAGTGCCACTTTTTACCACCTAAAACAACAGAGCACCATCCATAAAACTCCGGATAAAAATCTCAGATCAAGGTTCACATTGTCATTCAAAATAAAATTTGCTCAATATACCAGGCTTAGCTGGCTATAGCAAGACTTCAACATAATGTAGTGCATCATAATTTTTAATGTTGATCCTTAGCTTGGGAAACTAAGGAAATAATTAGCTGGATAACTGACTAACTAACCAAAGGCTGTCTGCCTGGCACTGCTGGGTACTTAACAGCACCTCTGAGACACAACCAAGCGAAAAAGAAACAAGGACTGGGCAGATAACTTAGGGCCACCAAGGGAGAACATAAGGAAATCTAGGGGAAAAAAAAAAAAAAAAAAAAAAGGATAAAAGGAGTTTAATATATTTTACTGGCATGACAGCTTTTCAAATGCAAAAGCTTCACACATCTATCTAGCACCAAAAATTTCACGTACAGAACTAAACCAGTCTAACATTTCCAACCTCACAAAGGAACAGATTATTTTCTGCAAAACAGAGGACACACGCTGTGCACGTGCATAACATTTTAAGACAAAAAGTAGGCTGCTTCTCTTTCCTTGGTGCAGATAGGTAGGTCAAAGAAATGATCATTGTCAGTGAGTTTTTCATTTCAGCAGAGCAGACATTAGAAGAATAATATCTGTCCCCTTAAGCTGAGCAGCAGAATGAAAAACTACTCTCTCTTTTCCCCTTTCTTCACCCTCCCTCTACTTTATGAAAGATGTGGTGGTAGACTTCCAGTGATATCTATCTCCCACAAAGATTTCCATAGCCTTCAACTTGTCAAAATTCATGCGTCCTTATCTGATGCTAGAAAGTGAAAATAGCTTATAGACAGTTATTTCAAGGAGTAGCATTTATAGTAATAACTGAAATCTTACAAAATCTAGTTTAAGTGTGACTAAATAAAACTGAGATGTTTATGAATACCTAATTTTTCCTTCACTGTGACAGCTGTATTTATTAGGAAAAAGCAGAGAAGCTGAAAGCACTGTGCTTCCCTCTGATTTCATCCTGTACATAAAGGTTTAATTAGGCTGTATTTACAGCACATGACAAAAGTCAGCAGCCATAGGAAACTTAAAACCATAGGCCTTAATCTTCTGTCCTTTCCAGATATGTAAAATACGGAACTTTAAAACTAGAGAGCTAAAAGTTGAATGAAGCAGACACTAAGGTAAACCTAATGCTGAAGGTAAGCCTGCCTCTTCTCTCAAGAAATAAATACTTAAATCTTTGACCTAATGAAAATTACATTAATATTAGAGGTCAGAAAACTCCACAAGCATTAGGGGACGCAACTAGCTCTTTCTTCAGGTTTTTTATGCATGCCAACAAAGACTGAGACTGCTTTAGAGTGAAAGTGGAAAGTTAGAGTAACGAGCAGTACAAAAAGGGCAAATAACAATACCCAGTTTTCCTCATAATAGAAAACCATGAAAATGGTGAGTGAACCCCAAAATTAATAAATATAAAACCAATCACTCTGAAGAACCTTTTCGAGTCAGGTTCACAGAACTCACTGTCTTGAGAGAGGAAACAAAGAGACCAACGTTATCTGTAATGCAGTTAGAAAGTATTTCCATAAGGAACAGATGCCTTATGCTTCAGAACATAACACGATTATCCTTCTCAGGCAAATCCCTGGCTCTGTGAATCCCTGTTCCACAGCTTGTGGTGGATGGCACTTCCTGAGTGCAGCAGCACGAAGGGATGAAGCCACCAAGATTACTCAAGTGGTTAAAGTTGCCACTTCAGTGCAGTGAGGTGAGAGAGCCCCACAACCTGCAGGATCAGTTTCAAAGATAAAAAACGGTCTATGCAGGCCCACTGGTGGGGTTTCACAACACCTATTCCTGCTTCCCATCTTGGGTGTTTTATTCTTAAAAGTCTTTTTTGGCAGCTGGCATTTTTCTAGGAGTTCTCTCTGCATGTTGTTGATGGCAGGATCCAGCGTGTCGAAAGTCAGGTTGGAGGATTGCATTTAAAAAGCACCACCCAGCAAAGAGATGAAGGAGCATATCTGATTAAGGATGATCTCATCTACTTCAGCTACATAAAAATTCATTGCAACAATCTTCAGCCCTTTCTCCCTAGACAACATTATCCTGAAATACAAAAAGAGATCAAGAAAAACGGGCAGATTGGTGGGCTGAGCGACTGCACAAAGGCAGCTCCTGGAGAAGTCGTTATTAGTTAACTCCACTTTTATCTCTGACATTCTCCACACATTCCCACGTGTTAGCAACTGCTAGAGATGACAAGCAAAGAGAACTGGGAAAAGATGGAGGGCAGCATCTCTCTAACTTAAAAAGAGTAACGATGCAAAGTTCAGTGCAAGAATTCACAACTCTTCATGCATTCTACTCCAGGGAGTAAAATCTTCAGGTAAAGCCCAGGGTTGTTCAAAACAAGTGAATGTAGCCTGGGGATCTCTCTGTTGGTCAATAACCTGAAGGATTTGAAGGTTGCCTCACAAGAAAAAGAGAACAGTTGAGAGATATTTGGGAATTATTTCTGCAGGTAATAAAGAAACATTCTCTTGCACTGAAGACACACTGTAAGCACCAAAACAGGGGGGTCAGATGGAAATACGTTCTTTCACTAAGCATGTGGGTGCTGGATGTTTTTCAGACAGATGAGAGAACAGACCCCTGGCATTTGTAAGAACATCACACTTTTGCATCCCAGCATTGGTCGCAGGATCCCTCCTTCCCTCTGCCTTGAAAGCAGCTGGGAAAGAACCAAAGCCATTTCTTCAGTGCTGAAATTCAGGGCATTTCAAATAAGGTGTGATTGGTTAAAAGATGAGTATCTTCAAGCCACACCGGCAGAACACCTCAAACAAACTGCTACCAACCTGTCAGAGTAGGGTAGACAACATTACCCTCCCCAACTTTGTGCTTTATTATTCTTTTCATCCAGTTTGATCGTTAGAAGTGTTCTGTACAAACAGAACATCTGCAGCCAGGTACAAGAAAATGGTACATTTCTAGCTGAAGAAGTGTATTTTTCCAAAAGTTACATCCAGGCAGTACTCTGTATCTAGGAGCATAAAAGGATCATCTGACACTTCTAAAAATTCTTGGGTTACAGAGACAAAAAAGTCCCAGCACTTGACAGTGACATCTCAAAACGCCAGTTCCTCTCTCACAAAAAGAGATGTAAGGCTGCAGTCATGTAGGATGGAAAATGAAAACATGTTAACAACCAGGCCATCTTCTAAATGACAAAGCCATGGCTGTCAATTAAGGAAAACGTCTGATATATTTTGTTCAACTGCTTTTCATTAAAGCTGATCAAACAAGACCATTAAATGCTTATGAAAATACACATTTTTAGGAAATGCCTGCTAAATTTTCAACACATTAACTGCTCAGCTTTTATTTTTCAAGTAAGTGAAAATAGCCTCTCACCAAGTGAGCTAATTCTAAGGTGTGGACAAATAAAGAAGCCAGCTTTGAGCAGTGAATGAGGTCTGGTCTGCACGTATTTCAGTACTTGTTTGTTTACAAGGACAGGCTACCCCCTGTCAAAGAGGGTATTTGCTCCTGCAAACATTGCTCCAAATGGTTGGACTGACATATCAATTTCCCTCAGAGGTGCAAGGGGTCAGCATGAATGCTTGGCAGTGGCAAGGGTGCTTTAAGGTCACTCAGCATCACAGTACCAGCAATAAGCAAAATGAAAAACAAATGAGGCACAGAAAGTTGAAAAAATTAAATTACTTCATTCAAAGCTTTGGAATACCTATAGCACTGGCCATTACCACACTAAAAACCAGAGAGAGATACAGAAAGTATTCAAGAGAGGAGGAAGCTTAATCAGTTGTATGACACACTGAATTAATCTTGTCTTATCAGAAATTCTAAACCTACTACACGATAACTCTGCTTTAAATTGGCTTTAAAATTCTCAGAAGGAAGAAAATAAAATTGGGCTCTTCACACTGTTGTGTAAATCATTCTTACATTAGCAAAAGAGTCTTCTACAACAGGAATACACCTGAGTTAGAAAGGGTAATAATTGCTTTAGCCATGTGTTGTCTACCTACAGCAGCTGCCTGATCTATAGAGAATTAGTACCTCTACAGTTACACTACTCAGCTGTAGTCAGTGTTAAGAGTGACAGCAAGAGGACCAAAGTAGGACTATTGTTCAAAGAGACTTAGTACAAATCATTTAACTAATCTTTTACTATGTGGTAATTGGCAGAGGTCACAGGCTAAGTGTGCTACTACCCACAGCACTTACCTGCTCCTGTAGATTACTGTGTAACTACACTTAGGAGATCCATATGCAATTACCATGCAGCCTGCACTGAAGTTTAGAACATACAAATAATTATCAAAGGTCAGCTCTGCCATGACACAATACTCACTGTGGATTTTTTTATTATCCCGGCCTGTTTCACTTGCTTCTCTTAAAAAACCCCCAACTGGGTCCTGAGTTGGGCACACTGCTTCAGCATTTCCAGCTGGCAGAGGTTTTTGAATATTGTCCATGAATTTAAGGGTGATATCCACCTCTGACACCCTCAGAAGAGAAGCTAAATGGAGACCTCCTTGAACTCTGCTTGTATAAAACCCTTTTTCTTTCACAAGAAGCTGTGCCTAGAGTATACACCCCTAGACTTTCATTCACTTGATCCATCACTACAGGCATAACAAAACTTGAGGTTTTTGCCATGATACAAAATGTTTGTGGATTTATTCCACACAATTGTTTTAGACCTGCAAAAAAGGCTGCTCATAGACTTTGTGGAATCTCTGTCCTTGGAGATTTTCAAAAGCTACATAGACATGCTCCTGGGCAGTCTGCTTGAGCAAGGGTTTGGACAGGATGAACACCAGAGGTCCTTTCCAACCTCATCCATTCTGTAATTCCATGAAAGATGAAATTCTATTTGCTTCTGGTTTTATGTATGGCAAAATCAATTGCACAAGGAAATAACCCTTGGATAGCTATCTTTGAATAATCAGTTCTCTGAAGCAACAGTAAAAACTATTCTACTACTAATGCAGGAGAAACGTTTTCAGTGCTACGACAAAATAGCTCTGGGGAGCAATTCCATTTAAGGTTTTTACTTTATCTACTCTAGTTTTCGTATTCCCTCAGAAACACTGCCAGAAAAGTTATTAACAGTGGCTGTAACCACATCCTTATGGTCACTGTAGCAAAATTCTGAGAAGAAACTTCACTACAGGAAATCTACATTCTGTAGATTTAGTCTGAGACACTTGGGGACCATGCTTTCATAGAGTTATTATGAAGATACAAAAGCAGACTATACCAACCATTTTGCAATCCAAAACCTCAGCATCAGATGTTAAAAAAAAAAAAAAGAAAAAAAATATTTTCTGATTGGGTGAGGTGAGCTAAATATTGACCCAAATAGTTCCAAAAACACGTAACAAAGCAACTACAAATGACCATTCTTGGATTTGAAAGCACATACAGGAATGCAGCAGATCTGAAAGCAGATACAGGAATGCAATACGTGTCCAACACCTTAAAAATTCAAGAAACGACCCAAAGCTCACCTGAGACTGCGAGATCGAGGCCTCAAGGCTGGAGAATGGCGCCCTTCCTCATCAGTGATGCTCTCAGTACTGAAATGCTTTGTCAGGAAATGAAGTTCATCTGCCGTGGGCTGAAAGGGCAGCTGGTGCAGCTTCTCCTGAGATGAGCATGATGACTGAGTACAGAAAAAAATACAGAAAAGAAATGCACTAAACGCATGCATAGGGGTCAGCTAATGAATGGAAGAGGAACGGACTCTGCCAGACGCTCCAGAGGAAAAGAAAGCTATTTATCAGACCAGGTGCCTCTTTTCATTGCTCTCCTTAGGCTAAGCCAACCCTTACATACTATGACAGAGCTGCTGAGATCAGGAAAACTTTGGGAGAGGGCTTGGGAAACCACTGCATCCAATTCTGGAACTGTTCCATCTGATCATGCGGATAATTTATTATTAGAAGATGGAAAGGAAGGTAAGGGAGTACCAGCACTACTCTGGAGAGGACAAGGAGGTTCCTGGAGTGGTGAGCAACTTTCTTCCCCTTTCCCTCACACACTCTTAGCTCAGGAGTTCCACTGGCATGCAGAATGCTATGGAGCTGTGTAGACTTTTTTGCTGACCATTGGCTCTCATTGGAAATTTTTACTGTAAATGGTCAGGATTTTATTTCTCCTTTCCTTTACCCATCAGGCTTCTTCTCTGACCAAGGAGGCAACAATAAAACAAAAATCCCCAATTTCGCTTTTAGATTAACAGAGTTTATTGTTAAACAGCTTATTCATCTGTAAATAAGTTGATGCATTTATCTGACACGTGTCCTGTGATAATGATAGACAAGAAACTGTTTTCATTCTTGAACCTCATAAAACCTGAGGTTAAAACAGACATTTGTGGGAAATGTTAATAACATCAAATGTTGGACATTCCAGAGGAAAAAGCAGTAAATCAATTAAGAAATGTATGTTTTGTGTGTGTGATTTTTCAATGCCCCTTTCCATTTTACAGAAGTAAGAAAATATATTATATACTTCCAGTACCAGAAGTATTGTTAGGAGAGAATTATACATGATATAGCACGTGTGACTTAAGCTTTAGCTCACCTAACATGGGAAAAAAAGCCTATATATCTCTTGTCATATAGCTAGATCCTTTTGTTTGACATTTTCTGAGGAAAAACACCCAATCAACCAACAAATCTGAGAGAAACAAGTCACATAGAAAGTATCAGTTCAAATGGTGCAATTCTTGTAAATATTGTAAGCAACAGAAAAATGGGGTGATATGAGAACTTACAAACATAAAGGTCCTATTCTTTAATAAATATATAATTGGCTCAAGACCCCAGATCCACCCTCTCTGCACTGCACAGAGGTATTTACAGAAAAGAACTCCCCTCAAAGCCTCTGGTTGTGCATGAACTTCCCAAGGGTGGCTGGAACTGGAAACCACCACGCTGTGCAGGGATCATATTGGGCAGTCACCTCCAGCTCAGTGTCCACACAGTGATGGTGTATCAATTTACACTGAAAATCCACACTGAAGCCAAGATGGAGAGTTTGGGCATTTACCCCCTTGCCCAGTTATTCTGCTGCTCACACTGCTTATGCCAATTATAAAGAATATTCTCTATGGTACAGAATTTATTCAAGCTCTGTTTTGATTTTCAGAGGTTTCTTTGATGTCTTTCTGTGTTTCTCACACCATGTAAGGAGCAGGAAGAAGTACTTGACTAAGAAAAAGCCTCAAAAAAAAGCTAAGTGGCAGCTGACATCCCATTCATAACATGGATCCTGCAACAGAGTAGAAAGTACTAAAGATACTGCCTTACAAACCTGCATGAGCAGATACCCAAGTTCTGGCATTACAAATACATGTCTTATTTAAGACAAATTAAAGAAGGTTAGCACATAGTTACAAGAATTAGAAGGAGAAAAAAAAATCTAAACTTATAGTCTAGAAAAATCATTAAAAACTTTGTTTCCCAACAGTAAAATCACTGGGGAAGCAGCAATAGTAAACTCATGGATGACTCAAAAAAAAATTCCCCCTCCGCTTCCTCTCCTTAAAAGCAATCAGATCACAAAGTTTAGAATTCCAAAGAACAATTAATGAAAGTCCTGAAGATAAAGACCATGGACTTTTCTCTGCCAAGGGCTTCTCCAGCAGTGTTCAGGGGCATAACCTTTTAATGAAAAACCATGAAAGCAAAGTGAAACACTTCTGAAGTATTGATTTTTAAGTAATCACATCACAGTATTCAACACTTGCAGCAGACTAACACAAACACCCCCCTGGTGTCTTAATTACAGATGCAGAATTAGCTTTGCCTTCTCCAGTTTAAAAAAAAAAATCAAGCCAATACTACAGTAGCTTATAAACTAACTCTGCATCTAGAAAGTGAATAGCAGATTAGTTGCTTAAAAATAATTCTATATTGGCCCATTTAACTGATTATTTTATGTTCATCGAAGTTGAAAAAAGGTCTTCTTCAGCTTTTCCACAGTTGGTCTGACAATATTTATCTGGTCTTCATGGTTTGTGTGGAGAGGACAAATGTGGTTTGTTTGGGTGTGGGGTTTTTTTGTAGTGTCATGAAGTAAAAAATTAAACGGAATCTACAGGTTCTCACTGACCTTAGACTACATAAAGGCCTTGGTTTGTTCAGGAGGTTCACAGAGCAGCTGATCTACGACCACAGAGGTGCAGGTCAGCTCTTGCTCTCACACAGAAACTCAGGCCAGCAGGACACAGGATGGACATTGCCCTTCTGGCTCTTTCATGTCCTGCTGACACGTGCACCAGCAGGAAGGTCTATTGTCTTCCTTCTACCTTGCTTGAAAAAGAAACAATCCTGAGGACTGATCACACAAAATGGAAGCCCAAAATTCTGTGAAATTTGGATCTGCAGCATTAACTCACCGTGCCCTTTTGACAGGCCCCTTGACTGCTCCTTACTCCGGATTTGAAGTCTATGCAGGAATAATGCCACTTATCAACTTCAGAGGTGTTATTCAGATCAATTCAAATTAATTCTAATCTGTGAAATACTACGACAATAGTGTTGTCATAGACAAGTCCTAAGTAGGATTGGCTTAGAAATGTAATACCAAGTTTAATAGCTGCAACAATTGGATCACTACTTACTAAACAGCCCCTTTCAATGTCTTACTAAGATTGTAACACAGAACCAGTAAAAGGACAAGAAATGAGAGAATTAGCCATTTAGGAAAAAAAAAGTCCTAGAATTACATGTTTTAATCTAACTATTTTCTGCAGGAAGGTAAATTCAGGTCTACTTACAACTATCACTTCATGATTCTCATTACACCATATCCTGTTTTCTGTTACTTCTAATGCTTTGAAAAATTACACCATTTGGGCTGATGCTTTCCATGGGACATGTCTATCTCAGATTTTTTTGTGTGTGTGTTTTTTGGTGGGTTTTTTTCATAGGAAAACATAAAAAAGAAATCAACCAAAAAACCGACTGTCTTGAAGTTCAGGAGATAATAAATAGTGGAAATTGTGCAAACTAGAGCCCGCAGGAATGTGTCTGAGCAAATGAGGCTACAGAGGTAAGATTAACATTGCAAAATCAAATTTTAGTCATATCAATTTATGCTAAAAGAAAACTTTTGACCCCAATTTCTTCTCTTGCTATACAGACTGAATTTAACACTCACCTCCTAATGAACTCTGTGATAACTTTGTGTTTGAGAGGCACTAGAAAGTTTATGGATGAACTTAACAGAGCAGCTCACAAGGAAAAAAGTGATACAGTGTAAGATTTGCATAATGTGGAGCACTGAGTCCTAATTAATGATGGTATGGAATTATAATTATTAGGAACATACTCTATATTCAAATTATCAGTAGAAATACCATAGAAAGAGGCAGTGATGCTACCACACAGTTGAAGACACTCACCATAACACACATCCAAAAGCAGGTTACATTAAGTCTGCACAGGCAGCCTTGACACTTCTACTTTTTCTATGCTTGGCTTTGCAAGGTTGTTACATGGATAACCACAAAACCTTGGTCACTTGAACTAAAGAGTCAGGTTCATTTTAGGAAGCACGTGAAGGTTACAAGGGTTAACACAGTGCTCTCTTAGTGGCACTGCTGGCTGAACTCAAGCAGTCTCCCTAATGAAGGGTGTGAGAACTGAAAAAGCTTTATTAGGAGGTTGAAATTACTGGAGAAGAGTAACAGGTGTGGCTTATCAGTTTTTTCTTTCTGCTAGCCTGATAGCAGAGGTTTTCATACTAAGAACTTGAAAGCAGACAAGAATTTCATTTCCCAATCATAAAAAGCTGAGAGCTGGGAGATAATTATACCCCATGTCTGAGTCCCGCCACTTTGGAGACGTTTGTGCCTCTCAAGTGATCAGTCAAAGCCAAGTGCTGCACTGGGATTTCACCGAGGCAAAAGTGCAAGATGAGAGGAGCTGGGAAATGGAGGAAAAAAGCAGCAGAACCAATAATTTTAAAAAAAAAATTAAAAATAATTAGTATATTAAATAACGTTAGCAAAACAATGAAGAAAGATCGGATAATTTTAGTAGAGACTCAGAAGCTGATTTGTTAGGGTGTATTTGTACAAACTGAATTGCTTGGAAAAGTCTGTGCCACTTACTGAAACTGTTGAACTGGGAGTGTTTGTTCCATAGCCGGATGAAGGAAGGGAGGCCAAGGACCAGCGGCGTCCATCCGTCCTGGGGGAAAGATGTAAGGGAAATCACGGTCAGGGACACACTGTGGCTAATTCTTAGGAGAAAAAAAATAGTAATTTTCTCCCCCAAATCTCTAAACCTCACGTTTTTATTAAAGTCTCAAGTTATTCAGATCAATCAGCTATCCTAATTACAATGGTATCTAGGAAAAAGCAGCCAGACTAGGTTTTAGAAGTAAAATTATGGAAAACATAAAGCAAACAGGCATCAGGTTCCTGCATTAAGCAGATGTTTTGAACGTGTTACCACTTGTAAAAAATTGGAGTTTTTAAAACAGACAAATGAAAACAGCTCCCTGAAAACTTCTTTGAAAAAGGGCAGATAATTATTTATGCATTTTCTTGTCTTCCAGATGAACATTAAAATTGAGAACAAAAAAAAAATCACATGAGATGAAGAATCAACTGAAAGTAGGTTCATTTGTTTACCGAGTCAGAAAGCATCACCTGGCACAGCTGGGGAATTAAACCCACAACAGCAGATACAGAGATGAGGGGTCCACTCAAAATAGTAAGATAGAAATCAGAGAACTCTCACTTAGGGTCTCTCTCCTCCAGTTAATGTAATATTAGTAGCTATTCCCCTACAGTAGTCAAAGAAACTACTGGGGAAAAGAGCCAAAACATGGCAGAGATGTTGCAGAAAAGGTCTTGTTTTACCAGTGTCAAAAGTGAGGAACTACAGGACTGCTTTCAGAAGAATCAGTATTGCCCTCCCTGAAACCTTCTTCTCCACCCAAACCCCAGGCCTAGTTTGGAAAGATATGGGGATTTCTGGTACAAACAAATACAGTGCATTTATGCAAGTGCATTACAAAATAGGATGTTTGGCACAGGTCTGAAACACTGCTTATAAAACCCTCAACTGTTATCTTCACAGTTAATATTTCTCATCCCACTATCCACTCATAAAGCCTCATCTCCAGAAAAAAGTTCAGTGCCCACCCAGACATAAACTCCTGCTTATAATTTTTCCAGGTCTAGCTCCTTTTATTGTCAGATGCACAGCACTCTTTGTCATCTATCTTAGAACGAGAGGGAAATAAATTCACTGTCCCACATCACTGAAAAAATATTATATCAAGAGTTTTAAAAAGACTCATGTTTCATGCATTAAAAGAAAATAAATAAAATAAGGCTGTAATGCAGATTTTTATTGCATGTGTATGTTATAGCTAAACCCCCTCCAGCCACAGGTGATGTTTTCTTCGGGAAGACAATTAAATGTAAAAGAACAATCTCAAAATTATTCCAAGAGAAATGGAATTTCTTTCCTAACCCCCAAAAAACAACAATTATCAGAATTACAAAGTTGTTGCTTTCTGTGGTAAGTGATTGAACACCAAACTTCAGCTTTCTGTAACATAAAGGAGTACTGGTGAAACCTTTAAGTTAATGATTCAACCTCAGTTTGGATTGTCATTCCCAAAGCAAGGCAGTCTGCTCCCAGGAATGCACAAGTCACTCATTTTTTTGCAAAAGGAAAGCCTAATTAATTTTTTTACCGAATTACCTAAACTGTGCACTGAAATAACTTCAGAATCTTCATTTAGACAAAGTTAAAAGAAAATCTATGTCTCAGTTAGAAAACTGCAGGACACCCCTTCATGCTTGGGCTATTTTCTGCTGATGCAATCGAGGCAAGCAGTGTGCTAAGCAGTCAGGACACACATGTCAGCTCTACTCTAGCAGAAAGAAGTGGGACAAGACTAGAAATCTGCCAAATCAAAGGAAAGGAAAACGACTTTAAAAGAAAATTCCTCTTTAATTTATGCAAAACATTTCAAAGCTATTTCAGTGTTCTGTTAATAAACATATTTTAGAGAGACAACGTGCAATATTGCTCCAGGAAAAGACAATTGGAAAGAAATCTTTAGGTTTTATATTTGTTTATTACAGACTCTTTGCTAGCACAACAAAAACATGCAAACAACAAACTTTGCCTCTAAAATGACATTTTAATTAGTTAATTAAGGACGTATTTTTATGGCAGCTAAATGCTATTTAATGAACAGTAGATCAATTTCAAACAATAAAGTGTTAGAAAAACAACGCATCTTCTGCAGAGCACTCACTACCTGTTTATCACTTTGAGATAGAATGCAAAGATTTCCTGTTTCAGTGACCAAAAAGGATAGAAGCTAAATGCCTAAATGGGGTTGTTACAGCAGGAACTTGTTAGGGACACGGGCTCAGCTGCACAGAAGCACAGTTCATACACACACACAAACAGCAGCAATAGGATACACATTACCTGTCTGCTCTGTGTCCGTGGCTGTGTGGAAAAAATTGTACAATAGTTATGAGAGAGGGAGAAGTAAAAGATGCACATGATTTCTGAAAAAAAGACCTCCATCTCCTGTCAGTGGTATTCTTTCAAGATCAGTTTTAGTGAGCATGAGTAGAATTAACCGTACATTTACTTATTCCAACAGGAGGATTGCTGAACATGCCAGCTTTGTGGCTGTGACACAATCATTCAAAAGGTGTCTAACAAGGGATTTATGGTTAAGCACAAGTCAGACCAAAGACAATCTAGCAATATATTATAGTGGCTTTACAATAACACAAGGTTTTCAAACATGTTTCCTACTCTGTCTCAAGAAAGAACTCATCACAGGGCTATAATGAAAGAATGGAAATCACAAATGATGTCCAAACAGAATAATAAATGAAGAAATTACAACGCAAATAACAGGCAGAAAATCAGCAACAAATAATTTCTGTGGCAGGAAATCAGCAAAGGGCCATTTCTTAAGACCCCCTGAACATCAGTGAAAAGGGCACTGTGAAATATCCATTTGTCTGGCAGCACAGTGGCAATTACTTAATACCATCATATAGAACTTATTCTGATAGCACTATGGGATAATCTAATCTGTATCTGTTGTTACTGCTGGCATAGCTATTCAGGGTGTAATGCAGGTAGAAAATAGAAACAAGTTGCTAAAACAAGCTGTGCTTAAGTGTTCTTTTCACTGGCAGAAAAAAAATAGAGAGAGAAACATGTATACTGTAAAATAAACCAGTGTATTCAATAGGACAGGCTCAACCTTTATTCATCTATTCCTTTAAAAGTTAGATTTAAAAAGTGGGTAAGTATGAAAGGGAACTCTTCGGAGTTTTATTATTAAAACATTTATTTGCTGTCTGAACTTTTAGAAACCGTCAAGTAGAAAGATAATGTTGAAAAATTATGTTAGGTTTTGACAGTGGTTTCTGCTGCAACTTTTCTCCAGTGTACCGGGGTCCAGAAGTCCAGATACTGTGAAAACTGGTAAAAACTCAGTGGACTTCAACAGAGTTTACTGAATACTCCCAGATCAGGCTTAGACACCTCTTTAAAAACAAAGGTGGATTCTGTGAGTCCATTTGAATTGTTTTACCGGACTAATTTTTCCCTCTGAGGCAACAGGAAAATACATATCAAGTCTCTTACATTTCACATGCTATTAAAAAGCTTTTTCTTACATAAGACATGAAGACCAAAGTCTATTTCAAGCAGCACTCAAGGACACCAGGCCTGTTAGTGAATCACCTCACTGGAGAAACACTCTGGGATTTTCCTGCCATTCAGATTAAGGGTGAACCTTATTCCATCAAATCCTAACCCTTTATTCTCCTTTGAAGTTTTGAGACCTATCCTTTTTTCTAACTAGTCCTCAAGCTAAATCTGTCATTCTCAGAAAACTTAACTTCCTCTAAGGATGATCACAAGTTTCCCATCCTCGGATCATTTGAACACAGACTAGGGATTTTCTTCCAGCCAAGGCAAAGTATATTAAATCCAAAACATCTCCTCCACACTTGAGCCTAATCATCCACCTCCTATGCACAAACCTTTCTAGGTTTCTCTATTTTTCCAGATCTTTATTTCTCACAAAATTTATCTTTCTGCATCATTATGCATTTCTGCCTACCTGCTGGGACACAACAGTCCAATCACCCTTTGTCTGCTTTCCCCAGCTGTCTCTATTCTTTCTGTCCTACTCCTTACACGAAATTCATCACCAGAGTATCAGATTTCTTCCCACCAGTTTGATACACAGCATGGCCAGCACCTGTCCAGCATCCACTGCAGGACAGATGACAGCTTCACATTCAGGTCTTCGGTGCTGCTCCTCTACAGGCTCTTGTGGACTTGCAATCTCAATTATCAGCGATTTTCCTCATTAGAGCAATAATGTTCTCTTGACACCAATGCCCAAGACAGCAGAGAATGCTCAAGAGTCAGCACCAGTCAGAAGGCAGGGAATGAAGGCACACAGAGTGGTGCATGCCTAGTTTTAGGTATTTTTTACATCTTTGTGCAGACGTAGCAAAGATCAGCACACTCTGAACACATCCCAGTGAGAGCAACATCTAGGACTGCAACTAAATTACGGTTATCCCAGTCATGACTGGCTAAATTATTTGTCATATCACATGCCCTACATATCATCCTTCTGGGAGAATGTTGCCTTCTCCCTAGCCAGCATTAACTACTTTATTTGCTTTCATCTTTTCTAGCTCTGGAAAGTACATTCTGGGTGCTGCCAAAGATGTAGTCCATAAAGAAGAAAATATAAAACAAAATAAAATACAAATGTTTACATCAGAGAAAGTAAAACACCACCAAAAATACCTTCTAACCTGTGGGCCATCTCTAAATAAAAGTGTATAAACTATGTGTTTGCCAGTCCAAAGAGAACAGATCCTGCCTTACCTTCGGGCAGGAACAAAGGAAAAATGAGCAGGTGCATTTGGAGAGAAGTTCCTGGGACTGTCCAAAGGGCTGCTACCTGTTTGAGAAAGCCAAAATAAACAGTCCAAAACCATTCCATTCACATTTGCAACAGCAGAAGGAGTTTTCACTGTGTAGAAAGACTTCCTAGTCACAAGTAATTGGAAATATGGAGCTTTTAATCTTTGAGCATTTGAGCAATAGTTTGCTAAAGAAATGTTCTGATACAGATGTCTTGGTATTTTCCCTCCTTTTAAAATAATTTAAGGTGTACATTTTATTTCTTCTTTCAGGTAAGTAATGTACCATCCATAGATAACAGTCTTTTAGTATGTTGTAATAATTTCTATATACAAGCTCCTCCTAACACCTGTCAGGAAAAGTCTGAGTTAGAAATTACACTGATGACAGTTTCAGGAATAATAAATACTAAGAAAACAATTCCTCACAACGTACATCAAGGCTGAATGTAAAATTCACTGAGGGAAAAACAAAAAAGACACACCAAAAGAACAGCACATGATAATAAAAGGACTATACACGTGAAATTTCATTCCACCATGAAATGAAAGTAACAGTGAAATTATACAGCAAGGAAAAAATAACATTTAATTACCTCTTGGAACAAGTATTTTTTCTATGGGTTTTGCCATATGACGTGTAAGCATACGGTTGGTAAGAGGTTTATTGCAATGTATTTTATTTCAAAGTAAAAAGCAACCATTTTGCAGAAAGCCCTTCTGAAATCCAGGATCATTTACAAACTAACTGCATGAACCTCTGAAAGTTATGGATGAATTAGATGTCTCCAATCAGTGAGTGTGCTTTCTATCAGTGGTTTGCTCTTCCTGATCACTAATATAAGCACAAAAGAGAAACTATACATAGTAAACACATGTCAACAGCAATTTCTTTGTGCACAGACAACAAGATAACATTAAAATAAGTCCAAGAAAATGGGAATAGATTCTGGACAAGCAACACACTGCAAGGTACATAACTCATAAATGGTTTTAATGGGTGATGAGAGAACTGGAGAGGTAAGTGAATGCCAGACCACTCTACAGTCTCCTTCATCAAGAGCAAACTAAATTAAAAACAAAGGGTTTGAGCAACAAGTTTGTTCTCTTTTGGCTTGGTTTTCTTCTGTATTGTTGGTTAAGATTAACAATGAGTTCACAGTGTAATATAACACAATGCAAGTCTTCATCCAAAACTGGGTACTGTTTAACCCATTCTCAGCATATCACAAGAGAACAGGGGAGAGAGTGATCAGAAGTCAATAATTAAATAATTTTTGGTGCTTCATTTATTAAGCTTGTACTCATTTTAATTCTTATGGTCACACTGGAAAAAAAAACACAGAAGCATCATGCTGCTTTTGAACCAAGAGAAGACAGAGAGATCTGACAGTCACAGTCTAGGTGGCACTGCAAGCTTACAAGAAGGATTTAAGAAGAGGCCACAAGAGCCACCAAGAGAACAACTGAGCTGTGCACGAGCACACACGTCCTGGTGGCAGCACATGGCTACAGGGTGAGGGTCACCAGTTACTCGCCAGCAGAAAGCTGAAGGAGCATTTTAGATCCTGGGGAAATGCAGCAGGAGTGAGGCCTTTCCATGGATATGCAGGTGATCTAATGAAGCAAGGGAGGCTGCCAGCTTTAGTGGGAACATGGTCTTTGCCTTCCCATTTTTCAGTCTTTACTAACAATGAACCCTACTGTGTCAAAATGACCCTTTTGAACTAAAAGCTCATTGCCCAACATTGTTACAAACAAGCAATGAACTGTCATTGCCTTTTTTAATACCTTCATCAATCTTTTGTGAACTTTCTGAATTATGATCAAAATAAAATTTCAGAATAACTGAGCAAATTGGGTAATGACAGTTTTTAAATATCAGAATTAAGTATGGGGGTGTTCAAACTCTTCTGAGCCTGCACGATGTGGTACGGAGATACCCCTAATTTTTAGGCAACTACTTTCTCAGATGTATATGGAATATTTCCTCCCAGACACTGGAATTTTAATTAGATCCCCTGTGATTTGCTTCTAGTGTTAAAATGAAAAGCAATTAGTTTTTCTACTCGATTCAAGTCTAGGTGAAGCTTTTAAAACAACAACAGGGAAAAGGGGAATTACTACTTTCCCTAAAATTTCTCAGTACTGCTGCATCTGCTCTGGATGAGGGCATTTTAATAAGAGAAGCCTTAGTGCAATGGTCTCGTTCAACGAGGCTGATCGAAACCCTATTTATTCTGTAGCAAAGGTAGATTCCCCTGTTGCTCAAGGGTTATAGTTGGCTACTACTGAACCTGAAATGACTCTGTCTCAGGGGAGGCTGTTACACAGAATCATTGCCCATTAGGTAAATCAACACAGTCACACAAATGCCAATAATTCAGGCAGGAACCTTTACATCTTCCAGACACAGGAAGAAGGATGCAGCCAAAGCACTTCTATATCCACTACCCTCAAAATACTCAACCAGACCTTGTGGGCAATAGATACGTGAAAGTCTCAGCTATCACCTACAAACATGACATTCACCAGATAGGTTATGAGTCCAAAAATTCACAACAGAGCCGTGTTTTAAAACCTGCTCCTGAGAATCATCCAAATAAATAAATACAAAAAAAGTTCTCCTGGTCTTCTATGTAGCATATACAAATATTACTTGTTGAATATTAATGCAGGCAGCTAAAGGTCATATTGCACGCTACAGAATTAGCTGCCTTCCAGCACACACAAATCTGGAAATGACCAAAAAATTCAAAGCACTCTGTGTATCACCTGTCTGATAAACAATGAATGTCACAGTGCTCTCACACCACCCGAGGATCACACACATGACACGCTGATGAAAAGAAGCTTTGATAAGCAGGGCAGGATCTAGAGTGGTATGTTACATACTCTGCCTGCTCTAGAAATAATAAATAAATAGAGACCTCAGTAATAGCCATTTTTCTGCCAGAAGGTGGGACTGAACTTGCAGTGTAAGAGCAGAATCATTCAATTCAGCAGCACAGTGCTGCCTGCAGGCAGCTCCCTCTGCCTGCCCTTACAGATGGCAAAGGTCCCAGCAGTGACAAGTGTCTCCACTGGAAGCCAGCAAGCAACCTGGCTACCCTACAGCTGTGGAAAGTAAATTTTAAAATAGCCTGAAGTTCAATTTTCCAGCTGTAACAACCTATCTCTTTACTACCTATTATAATGTCACTACTTTGATTTTAAGCTTTCCAATTTAAAATATCATCTAATGGTAACTTAGTTATCAACCTCACAGTGAAACCACTTTGTAATTTTCAGATTTTAAAAAATGGATTCAAAGAAATACAAACAAAAGTAGGGAATATGTGTGTGTACCTTTCTCCCCATTCTGATTTAGAAAGAAAAGGTACTTAGAATAAAGGCAAAATTTTCAAACTTGTATCCCTAAAACTTGGCACTACAAGTTTGGGAGACTAAATAAGCATGCTTGCTGCTCCTTTGATTTGTAGGAGAGGTTCAGAATGGGTATCAAGAAGACAAACCAAAAAGTTTAAAACTAAAAAGGCCAGCGAGAGACTCCAGCATTTGTTAGTAACTTATCACTGCTCGTGCCTGAACAAACAGATTGATAGATTCTGTTCAAATACTAAACAAATATCACAGCCTGTTCTCGAATTCACGTCTCATATATGATATTTCTTAAGAAAATATTTGTGACTCTACTCTAAATTTCATCTACTTTTGTCTCTTGAATAAATTATTTTTTCCCAGGGAAGACTCCTAAATATAGTACTGGCAGAAAACTCAAATTACAATTAATTTCTTGTGCTCTACTGGCTACTCCTGTAGGTCACAAAGGATATCCTTTTAATTAATAATTTAAAATCCCACATGCAACATCAAAACAAAAAAATGGAAACATTTGACAACGACTGCCAAAGTGAGGTGGCACACCACTGAGACGTTACTCTTCTTTATAGAAGACACTCACATACTTTATCTAATAAGTTTAATTTATCTAATAAATGATAAGCTTGTAAAGCCTGAAAACAGCAACAAAACCACCTGGAGAAACTTTTCATTTTTGAAATAGAAAAGAAAATGTAAATGTTTCTGTTATGAACAATTTTGGACTTGTTTTCTGAGCAATGATCACATCAACATCTTGTTGCACTCAGCCAAGCAAGGACACTTCTTTTGCTCAGTTAAAGGCTTGTACAGCTAATTTAGAGTTTGTAAAACCAACATATATATTAATTCAAAGTAAAAAGCACAGTGTAACTATGTGGAGAGTCTCTTCCACGAAAAATGCCTTGTTGAAACCAAATTTTACAAAACTATGACTACCATAATAAAATTATTTTAATCTATCACCTACAAGATTTTGTTAACATTTTAATTTGAAAATAATGGGTTATTTAAAAAAAACCAAACAATGTAATTAAAGCACATTCCTAGCCTTCCAGGTCTGGGCTTTTTATAGCATCCCAAGCAAACATGACAGGTTTTTAAAATATGAGGCTTTTGTGGGCATCCCTGAACAATTACTTTGGCCTTCTCCTTTTTCCACAGGCTGGATGTCACCTCTCGAGATGCAAAGCTCTGCAAGCAGAAGCAGATGGCTCCTTCTAGCTGAGCTACTACCAGTGTGCTGTTCTTTCTCAGCATTTCCTTAGTTTCAGCCTCCAGAAAGCATTTACAGAACACGCTGCCACGTAGGAGGAAGGAAGTCTGATCATCATGAGAACAACAGTTCCTTGTCTTGCAGGCAGCAGTGATTCCAGACAGGCTCCACTGGGGATGTGCCACAAATGTTCAAGCTGTTTCATGCTACCAACTGGTGCCTGTAAGGGCCATACCTGGAGCCCCAACCATGGCATTTTGAAACAGCAAAAACATTGCAGTCACACATCACCTACCCCCCCTTCAGCAACAAAAACATCAAGAGAACACGCTGTTCAGGCAAGCTGTTGTATCTGCATGTGTGACCCCTTCTGAAAGAATCATCCCCTCTTTTATTACAGAAAGAACATCTCCACACACTTCACCTCAGTGAATAACAAGCACCTGCCCATGTGCTCTGAAATGAGCATTTCACAGTTGCTGCCATCATAGCATTGGCAGCAATTAAAAAAAAAAAAAGGAAAAAAAAGAAAGAAAAAGTAATCCCAAACACCTCATGTTGCTCTAAGGAGCAGACAGAGACCATAAAATGGCACACAGTGCACAGCTGCCAGAGGCATATGGGAACAAGCAGGATGTTCCTTCTCCTGAGAGCTGCAGTTAAATCTCTGGCACAAATTAACCACGCTGGGAGACTCAAAACAAGGTATTTATTTAAATGTATTTATCTCATTTTATTTTACTTTGTTTTCCATCTCAGGCTCTTCTGCAGGACGCAAGAGGATTGCCTCCCCCAGGAAGAGTGGAGGGTGGATAGCCGAACCAAACTAGGAAGTGTGGCACATAAAACATTTATCTTGAAACTACAAGGACCCTCTTACAAGTTAGAGAAGGTGGAAAACTCTTGTCAGAATCTATTTCCAAAGAGCATATTTTGATGTTGAGTATCAATATGTTCAAACTCACCCCACTGACTACTGACATTTTTGCTAATTCCCAGGCAGAGCAGCCCTAGGGTCTTACCTGCGTGTCCATGAAGAGGGGAATGCGGTCGTGGGAGAGTTGGAGACGTGCTGGATGTCACAATCAAACTCTTCCTGTTGCTTGTCCGACAGCTGAAAGAAAGAAAGAGAAACTCTGAGGCACGGTCAGATGTACAACAGCACCTGGAGGCAGGTCCTGCAGAACGTCTTTCAGCTAAGGAGGAATCTCAGTGTTTAGGTCTGTGTTTCCTCACACTCTCAACCTCGGTAGTGACCCTGCAAAGAAGTAAATGTACCGGGCCAAAAGCAGCAACAAGGTGTTTTAATGCTCTGGAAGAATATGCTGCAAAGGCCACTGGAGACAGCTGATAATTCATTCCTGATTCACAGAATATGTGCAACTCAAGCTTTACAAATCTCACAAAAAGCAAAAAAACCCGTGCAATACCCCAGAGCGCTTCGGATATTCTTACCAATATCCAACCTAGCAAATAAATCCATCACAATTGTTGGCTGTTGCTGTAAGAAACCAGAGCACATTCCTTAGGGCAGAGTCAAAATTACAAAGCAAAGTGTTAGCACAGTTCAGCAGATGAGCAGGATTACTAACTAAGCTTAAAACTTAGGATTCAAAAATCTCTGTGAAGGCACGTGGCAGTCCTGATGGAAAACTCTGCAAAGCAAGTTTCAGACACGCCTCTGCCACATCAACAAGGAAAGCTCCAGCAAGGAAAGTGACACTTCTTATGGGGCAGTTCAGATTTACTTTTTTCCCTGTGGAGTTTCAGAACTGAGCCAGATGAAGAGAAGGATGTGTTCATCCATTGCTTCCCAGCTTGTGATTGCTAGTAGCAAACATTTAGCTTTAAAGATAATAGAAGGAATTGCAACAGGCAAGAGAAACATTTTTAAACCATGGAACTGTGAACAAGAGCAACCAGGTATTTAAATCACTTTGTGATTGCCGCTTTTCCTGTTGTTTAAACAGCAAAATCTCACAACTGACCAAGTATTATTGCTACATACATTTGCTCATGGTAGCTCCAGCTTGCTTTCTAGATGGCAGAAGCATTTCTGCTTCCTTCAGCAGTTCTCAAAACAGGTAACTAAAATCACATTGGTGTTGACAGGGGTGGGAGAAAAGCCAGGAGTGGGGAAGGTTGAGCAGAGGCTGAACAAGGAGCTCGTTGGCCCCACTCTGGGGGTGCCCTGTGAAGCTCCACATTGGGTTCTCCAGGCACAGGTAAAGCCTCTTTGCTTGCAGAGCCCCCAGTGCTGATGTCTGCCAGGTCCTCCCTGCACTGTCTGATCTGCTGGAGCTGCCCACCAATAAACACACTCAGACTGCCAAGAACTACAATTTAAAGCAAAACTATTTTGCTGCCACAGGATACAGTGCATCTGAGTATTATTATTTGTAAGCTTTTTTTATTGCTGTTCTATAGGAAACCAGAGAACCTGATGCAGAAAAAAAATACAACTGAACTGCCAACTATAATAAACAGTAATAAAGTTGAAGCACCATTAACTGCTATTCAGGCTCTTTAGTGTACTTAAAGCATTCCTCAGAATTATCCAACTGATTCCATACAATCTCCATTTACATTCATGTATTATTCAACAACAGTCCATCCAAAACCTGATTGCCATTGTGCACATCATATGGAAAAACTAACAGTCTGATTTTAAGAAGCTTAAAATCTCAGTTCATGGATATTATTAATATGTTTTCAGTTATACTATTCCAGTAACTGCTGAAAAAAGATTGAATACTCAATTCCAACATTAATACCAGATAATCATTGTTTATATTACCAGAAAATCTTTCTCACAACATGAAATTCCTGAGTGTTCTAGTGTAATATATATTACTATTTAAGACATAAAAAAAAAAGTCCTGGATATTTTACTATAAAATGTAACATGAGAGTTTAAGATCTTGCTCAATATAAAACACACTACAATGTGAAAATAGAGCTCCATTCTCTATGGTCATATTCTCTTTGCTAAAGAGAACTCTTATAATACACTTTACCACAGCCATGTCTGGAGCTGGCTATGGAAACTTGGTATATTTTAAACTACAGCATAATAGGGAAAGTGAACTATCCCAAACTCAGCTTTTTAACTGCTTGCCTGTGTTTGCCAAATTGAACAGAGTTTTACAAACACATTTTCTCTGCTGTCCTTGTAAAGATAAGTAGCCAAAAGAGAAAGGGTTAAGTGGCTGGAGAACAAGCACAGCTGAGACCCCTTAAAATAAGTCAGGTTTACACAAATGTACCCAGAGGAGAGAACGGCTTGGAGTGAAAGCCTAGCCCCAAGTTGGGAATAAAACATTATTCTCTTTACACCCTCAAAACTGGATAACTTTCAGTTTCCCTGGATCTCTCATCTGCAAAGGGGAAACACCACTTGGGCCTGTTTAGCCATTTCTATGACCTGTGTGTGTTGGTAATAAGGCAAAGCTTAAACACAGAGACTAAAAACAAAACAGAACTCCTAACTTCTCAAATTCATGTTATATGTTGAGAAAAATATACAAATACAGTCACACACTCTACTGGTCAAAGAGAGCTCTCTGGATACAGACACAAAACTTTAACAGACCTAGGAATCCTTGAGGAAATACAGAACAAGAGAGATGGAGTTCTGGTAGTCACTAAAACACCCAAAAAAAGGAAGGGCAGACACCAATCTCTTCTCTGAGATGACCAGTGACACGACCTGAGGGAACAGCCTGAAGTTGTGTCAGGGGAGGTTTAGGTTGGATGTTAGAGCAAGGTTCTTCACCCAGAGGGTGGTTGGGCACTGAACAGGTTCCCCAGGGCAGTGGTCACAGCCCTAAGCCTCACAGAGCCCAAGAAGCATTTGGACAATACTCTCAGGTTCATGGTGTGACTCTTGGGGATGGTTCTGTGCAGGGCTAAGGGTGGAACTCAATGATCCTCGCGGCTCCCTTCCAAATGAGCACGGTCTGTCATTCTGTGACTCCAGCTGGGCAACCTCTCCCCCAAGAAGTCACTGTTGACAGCATTTGAGCACCTCCTAAAGAAGAACAGCTAAATATGAAAGAAGCAAAGCTGGCTTTAGCCAGGGCTTTGTGCCAAAGAAATTCAAACTGTCAGTTTAAGTGTTGGTAGAAACAGTTCCAATGAAGAAAAAAACTATTTCCTGGAAGATGCACTTTAGCCAGACAGACAGTCCTGGGTTCAAAACTGAGCTACCAGGACAGTGGTAAAGAGGAGACCATATTGTTAATCCTTTAAATTACATTAATTATTGTTTATATCTGTTCACAAATTCTCAAAACAACACTGTGTGGTTTTTTTACACAAAATCTACATAAGAAAACAGAAGTAATAGGAGAAAGCAGAAGGGGAAAAGGTTGGCTATACATCTGAGTTTTTGAACTAGAAAAAAATCAAGTTCTTAACCAGTCCAGAGAGATTCTAAGTATTATTATTTGTTTATAAGCCAAAGGTTTGCTATTTTCATTAAATGTGAGGCGACCCTTACCCTGACCCTCCTTTCCTCTCGCAATTTGCTATGGGTCTTATTAACCTTTTTTTTTTTCTTCAGGTCCCACGTCATAATTTCAGAGAACAAATCCCCTCCAGGTCTTCCAGCTAAGGCAAAACATGATTTTAATAGCACAGAGTTTCTGTCCAGCCCAGAGCTCCACCAGCAGAGTGATTTGGAGGCGCTGCCTCCCCTGCCCCCTGCGGTCCCACACACACACAGACCTGTGAGAGCACGGGAGTAACCAGATTTAATTCTGACCACACACAGTAAAACACGCAGTTTATATCAAAATAGCTGAAACAATGCCTTTGCATCACTATGGAAATAGAGCTTTTACTATTTCTGGAGTCAACTTCTCTGCCTGCAGTAAAAATAACGTTTGCTACATGCCCTGCAGCGGTCCCAGCGCGTTCCTGAAACGGGACACTGCGGGACATCGGACATGGTAACTGGACACTGGGTTTGGACCCACTGAAATGCACCCAAGGAGCCAGCACCCTTGGCCAGAGTTATTTATGAGCACACTTGGCAGTACCTGTGAGCTGCAGGCAGCCCAGGGGCTCTTCAGCTACAGCCCAGCTAACCCTCTCTGCCCCCACACACAATCCCATGTCCAGCCTCTAAAGCGAGCACCATGAGTACACCTTGTCTCTATGTGCATATAAAGTCTGAAAAAGAAATCAATGTTTCAGTTTCAGCATGAAATCAATATTCGGTTCTTTATTTTAGCGGTTTCCTCCGGGGACATCTTCAGCTCACTGAGCAAAACTCATTAAAGTCCAGGAGGCATTCATGCAATGAATGCAAGGCCACAGAAAAAAAAACAACTTAAAGATACATAACCAGCCACCACCATCAAGTAATTTCACAGTGTTGCTGGTTAATGGAAACTAATAACGATAAGGAAGTGTCTCAAATCTACCTGAATTTACAGAATTTCTCATATTGAAGCTACTGAATATGTAGGTAAACAGGATTAGCACCAACTGCACAAGCCTTCTCGTTGACTTTGACAGAAATCAACTTGAAGAAATAAGATGCATGGAAAAAGTATAGCTTAAATCACATTTTGGTTAATATCCATGAAGGCATTTTATTCATACTAGCAATTTATTATAGAATCACTCAGGTTGGAAAAGACCATCTAAGATCATCAAGTCCAACCTTCAAATGAAGATTTTCATTTTAATTATACAGTCTTAGTTTTGCAAACCACCTCAGGCTGTCAGACTGCCAGATTAACTCTTCCATTAACTAATAATTTCTTTCAAAATAACACTTCAGAAGTCCAACATCAGACTTGTTCCAGATTTGACATTCAATTCAATGACCCCAAATTCCTACAGACTGGGATCCAAAATTCAGAGTAATCATATCTACAAAAGTTATTTGTGGTTACATATTTTCCTAAAAAGTAGTATCACCTAACCAAACTTCACCAGAGTCTCCTCTGATGTTACAGAAGTTTGGTTTCAGTTGATTTGCTTTACAAAGAATTCTTTACAAGAAACAGACATTCTGGAAATGAAAATAAGTATTTAAAATTTTTATTCACAATGGCAGAAAATTTACAAAATCCAAAATCTGCATGTCAATGAATGCACCAG